TTAATTGATTGTTTTTGTTAATGTTATTTTAATTTTCTTATGCTTTATATTTACATTGATTATTGACTAATTATGTGATAAGAAAAGTGTATTTTTACCACCATCACTGGATGGCCTGATAATAAAAAAGCAAAAAAAAAGTTATATGAACTATTGAGTTTAAGTCCCCTCAAACACTTATATGGTGGCCCGGCCAGTGCTTCCAGGATCCACTAGCTCAGATACCCCCTAAAAAAAGTGCTTAGTTTTGATATTGTTTCAAATTATCATTTTTCTGTTGATTGTAAGCAATCTCGATCAAGAGGTCATTAATGTATAATATAGTTTTAATATTTGATCAATTTTCCTGGACTTTCCATGAGAAAAATACAAATACATCAAATTTATATAGTTTATTACACAATATTCTTTAAAAATTCATGCCAAAAGATACGTACCTAACATTCTGTCAATCTCAACCTATCATAAGACATGAACACATATTCGGTAATTGGTGATCAATTAAAAAAGAAAAACCATATATTATTTCCCAGAACCAGTAATCATCCAGAGGAATAAGTCATATTGCAACTCAGATTTTTCTTGGCAGCCAAACAAAAACATTGATATAGACGTGTATGGGAGAGAAAATGAGAGGAAACAAGGAGGATAACCATGATTATTTATTTATTTTTCTCTGAATCTTGAGGATAAAAAGATTGAAAACATGTATGTATGGCTGCACCTTTTTTGACAACAACATTGGCTAGTTGAAGAAGCAGTTGCTTGCAAATCCACTAAGCTCTTCTGTTTCTTATCTATTTCTTTTCTTCTTCTTTTTTTTAATCACAAATTTTTTTATGATGGGGTGTTCTGCTAGTTTGTACGTACTTCAACTAATCTTTTACGATTCTGAAACTGTTAATCAGGATATCCGGACCAACTTATGTGCACTTTAACTAATCTTTTAGGACCCTAAAACTATCAGTAGGTAAGAATCCACTCCTCTTAAAAGTCAAGATAAATCAAACTCAAGACCTCTTAAATAATACATCTAAAAATCGTAGTTGACTACGCGATTAGTATGTGGTTGCATTGCAATTCGAGAGAATCTTTTCTTTATTTTTTCCTGCCATTAATTAGAGCCTGGTATTTTTCTTTTTCTTGCTATCCCATCGATACCTTCAAAAATTTGCTTGTATATATGTGACTTGGATACGCAATATCTTTAATTCGATGCCCAATATCTTAAAGTTTTGTACTCTCTTACTGTATTTTGACCCTTAATAAATTCCATACGCCACCTCTTTAAAATTTTCATTAATTAGCTAGATATAATCCAGTCAAATCAAATTAATGACCATTTATTGAGGGAGTTCCTTGATGACTCTCTGTAAAATACCTGTTTAGGAAGACATTTCCAAATAAATCATAAGCTAAACTTAGATTTAGAATTTCATTTATATAAATTCAAAGTTAATTAGTATAATATATAGTTAATAAGAGGTTAATTATCATGGTGGTCACGTCCCTGTTACAAAAAAGAGAGGCTAAGGCTTGAGCTAAAAAGAGGGCAAAAAAAAAAAAAAAGGAGAGAAGTTGACATGAGAGGAGGAAACGAAGCCAAACATCTTCCATTATTAAGATTCCTCTAGACTTTTCCTCGAGAGGCGTGTGCTCCTCTCATGCCCAGCTGGGCCCGCCGCCCAAGGTGAAGTTGACACTATCCAATTGCACCGCCTCTCCCCTCCCCTTTAAATACGGGCCGTGCTGCAACGCTTCGAGATATAAGCATTCATACAAATTCATCAGCTTACTCAAAAACACTTTCAAGTTTCAGTTTTTCGAAGTTCAACAACATGTCGGACTGCGGCAACTGCGACTGCGCTGACAGGACCAAGTGTGTGTAAGTGATTCGTATCTCCATATTATTAAACTTTTGAGCACGACCCGTTTGTTGTAATTTATGTTATGATTCGATTATTATTATGTTGTGGCTATGTTCTTATTTGTGCATGGTTTCGGAGCTCATGTTGTTTGGAGTTCGTGCCTTTGTTTTGTTATTGAGCTGATGATCATGCTATGAAGCAAATAGCTGGTCCGTTGTCTTGCTTCTTTTATATGATGTAAACGTACTGTATAACCGACGCCATTTTTAGCGTCAGAGGAAATCCTCTGTATCATGTGTTGGTGGAGGTACTGTATATACCAACACCATTTTTAACGTTGGAGGAATCCTCGTCGATACAAAATAGTTTTCCTGTTATTTAAGTTAATGGGAAATAGAGGTTTGCATGTAGCTGCATGCTGAAAATGTCTTGAGTTATTGCTTGAAAGTTACGTGATCATATTACTAACAGTACCAAATTTTTCGGATTTGCAGGAAGAAGGGAAGCAGCTATGTTGCTGACTTCGTTGAGACTGAGAAGAGGTACTTTCTTCCCTATGGGTCCAATCATAGTCTTTTGTTTCTCTTTGATATTCTTGGTTTTGGTCATGGTGCATGAGCTGATACAATCTGGTTCTTATTCTTGCAGCTACACCACCACTATTGTCATGGACGTTCCGGCGGCAGCTGAGAACGACGGGTGCAAGTGTGGCACCAGCTGCGCTTGCGTGGACTGCACTTGTGGTGGTCATTAAGCTAAATACTATGTTTAACAACAATTTCAAGTGACTGAAATTGTTGGAATAATGTAATCAGTGATAATAACACGTGTGAAGTGTGTGTGAGTGTGTCAGTCATACTTGTATTTCCTTTCCATAATCATGTAATGGCCTTGGCCTTTTGTGGTTTTTAATGTATTGCTGTTATTAGTATACACTCTGCTCTCCCTTGCCTCTCTTTACTTCATAATTAACCACAATAAGTAACCTAACAAAGTCACTAATAAAATAATTTATTAAAAAAGATTTTATCAAACACCGACATGCTTTACTTGACCAAAATTAAAATATTGACTATAATTAAATCAAAGCGATCCTGAAACTGAGTCATAAGTTGTTATTGGAAACTATCATCATAGGAAAAGGCATTTTATCTCTTATCTCCACTAAGGTTTAAAGAAATATCAACAACACCTTATTAAAGTATTAGAATCATCACTACCTCTCTTGAGATCTCATAAAATCATCATTTACATTTTATGGTCAAAAGGAGGTAAATGGTGATTTTCTAAATCTGAAGAGAGGTTACTAATGATTTCTCATACCTTAGAGGTTTGTTGATATTTCCTTGAACTTCAGGGGAGGTAAGAGATAATTACTCTTAAGAAAAATAGCCGAAAAATATACAGAACATATATAATGAGAAGAAACTGGCTTCCTCAAGAACCCACTTCTGATTTATCAACAACATTAGGGTAAACTAAAACGAAGATCATACTGAAAAATGGTTTAGTTTTGTTGTATTGGTTTATGCAAGTTTCCTCTTTAAGTTTAATGCCCAATTGTTTAAGATCAGGGTCGGCCACAAAAGTTTTATGGTGCTCTTTATTTTAAAGAACATATTTCATATAAATAAAAAACATCTTCATTAATTTCTAAATATAAGTTTTATGGTGCTCTTTATTTTAAAGAACATATTTCATATAAATAAAAAATATCTTCATTAATTTCTAAATATAAGGAACAGAATTTTTATTCAAATCTAATAAACACTTTAAATCTAGAGAATCTCCAAATGACTCTTTATATAACCCAAACTTTTTATTATAAAAAGTTTATTTATAGAAACAAGAGTCCAACAATTCTTTATTCTTTAAATATAAATTAAAGAGTGAGTTTTACGTATTTTATTTATGATTTATCTCTCCTATTAAGTTTTCTTCTTGAAAAAACACATTCTCTCTTCTAAAATTTAAAGAGTTTATCGGATTTGAATAAAATTTTTGTTTTTTATATTTAAAAATCAATAAAAATACTCTTTATTTATATGAAAAATGTTCTTTATATTATTGGAGATGCTCTTAATAAATATGCTCTTTATATTATTGGAGATGCTCTTAATAAATATGCTCTTTATTTTCAAGAAAGAGACTTAATAGAAGAGAGAATTAATAAATAAAATGTATAGAAATTTATAGTTTATTAATTAAAATTATGATAGAGAGTGAAACTTAAGAATATCTCCAATGGTGCTCTTTATTTTGAAGAGCATCTTCATTAATTTTTAAATATAAAGACTATAATTTTTATTCAAATCCAATAGACTCTTTAAATTTAATAAAGATGCTCTTTATTTTTAAAAAAGAGACTTAATGAGAAAGAGAATTAATTAATAAAATGCATAAGAATTTGTAGTTTATTAATTAAAATTATGATAGAGAGTGAAATTTAACTCTCTAAATGTGAAGAGTCAAACTCACTCTCTAATTTATATTTTAAAGATAAAGAGTCCAATGTTTTTATAGATAAACTCTTTATAATAAAGAGTTTGAGTCATATAAAGAGTCATTTGGAGATGCTCTAACACCATAGCCATATAATGGATAATCACTAAATGCAGTATGAGGTAGAGGTCCAAAAGTAAAAGAAATGCAAAAAGAACAAGTTCCAATGTACTGAATTTCTTTTTCCCAGAAATTTTTGGACAAATGCACTCTAGAAAGGGCTGAAGAGACCAGAAGCAACTTGGCATATGCTGTGTTAGCAGTTGTAAAAGATTAAACAAGGTGTCAATTTAGTCCTGGTTTGCTTCAAAACAAAGTGAAATTCATAGTAGTCTCTTGATTAATAAATTTAACATCATGTTCGAAACTCAAATCAACATAATAACCAGAATCAATGCAGGAAGATCTTTTTAGAGTAAGATCTATAAAGAAGAAAATTACACATGAAAGGTGAATGTTATGATCTGAGTTCTATAACCAACCAAAAATTATGCTTAAAATTAAGATGAATTAAGTATGCATCTAACTTTTGTTGCATCCAACACAGCCTATGATTAAGAATTAACAACAAAGATATAAGGAAAACCAATAAGGTATAAGATGAACACTAATACAAAAAGAATTGTGTCAATGTATTTCATCCTCTTTCAATTCAAATTATTTATAAAGGTAACAAAAATCATATAAAATACAAGTATTGCATTCAAAAGTCAAATACCAATTTCTTGCTTTATTTCTTTTGCAAATAATCTGCTATCTGCAATTGTAAAATTTTAATGTTGGTATACCCATCTGGTTTGAATTGTAAAAACTACCTCTATTAATCTCAAACATTAAAGCCCTCAGCACGAAGGCACATGCGATGAGCTTCTATCCATTTTGCACAAGCATCTTCACCATGCTCCACAATGCATTCATCTCTCAGCTTCTTAGTCTCAGGGCAGGCACAGCAGATCTTCTTCTTTGGCTTTGACTCTTGGTCAGGTTTTACGATTGCCAAACCTTGGTTTGGCTGAGACCCCGGCAAAGCTAAGGTAGAAGAAGCATCTTGCAGGGGCAGTCCACCCATTGTCACAAGTACTCGAAGAATTCAGAATGCTAGCAGAAGAAATAATAAGAAAAAAAAGGTGTGTCAATTCAAAGCAGAGAATAAGCTTGAGACAGCATGGTGGATAAACTCCAATATGTTGACTAAAGCTCTAACCAAACAAATATTTATTAATATACATAAAATCCGAATCTATGGATGATTATGGGCTCATAAAGTATGGTATTTTTGTACTTTTAGTTGGTTTCCATTCTTTACAGAAAAAGTAAGCTGATTATGTAGTGAAAACAACAAAAACCTAGTCAAAAAGACATGAAAATGAAATGATCAACCATAATAACATGTGGCATCACTGACAAAGAATCAAAAATTTCTTCAAACTTTCCTTCCCAAATTTTTTTGTAGGTCTTTTCCATATACCCCTTGGCCAATTCATTTCCTACGATCTTTTACTTGCAAATAATATCTCCCCTAAAATAATAAAAAAGAGTCAATACACACCAGGACTGCAAATCCTCTAATAGATCAACTGTGTCAAGGAAAATAAAAAGAGGCCTTATTCGCAGGCTCTCTAGAAAAACTGGTAATGAGGTAAGAGATTAACTATGGTTCTAAGAAACAACTGAATCTCAGAATGAGGTCCAGTACATGCTCTTCCAGTAAAAGGATCAAACATACCCCCACCATCCAGAGAGAGGAGAAAGAAAGAAAAAAAACTGAGTTCCATATCTATAGATCAACACCCCAAACCCTTGACCAGCAGTATCAATCTAATAAATAAGAAATCTGGAAAATTTTCAACCATAAGAATCACACCAATTTTTTTCCCGCAATCTTACCTTAAAAAAATAAGGCATCTAAAGAATACAGTACATAAAGAAAGGAACAATTCATTCCATAGACGACCAAAAAATGATGAACTTCCAGAATTATAACAACACAATATTCATTGATTTAAAGTTTGAGAAATTGCTAAACCAAAAACCTAGAAAGCCATATTAAAAAAAAAAAAAAACAGTTATTGATACGATAGCAAGGAATCCAAAAACTAAAATAAACGCCCCAAACCTTTTCCAGAAAAGATCACTTAAATGGATGTCATCTAACCTCAACCTACTGAACTGATCATCAATGAGAACTACGCTGTTCTTATTTGTGCATGGTTTCGGAGCTCATGTTGTTTGGAGTTCGTGCCTTTGTTTTGTTATTGAGCTGATGATCATGCTATGAAGCAAATAGCTGGTCCGTTGTCTTGCTTCTTTTATATGATGTAAACGTACTGTATAACCGACGCCATTTTTAGCGTCAGAGGAAATCCTCTGTATCATGTGTTGGTGGAGGTACTGTATATACCAACACCATTTTTAACGTTGGAGGAATCCTCATCGATACAAAATAGTTTTCCTGTTAAGTAAGTTAATGGGAAATAGAGGTTTGCATGTAGCTGCATGCTGAAAATGTCTTGAGTTATTGCTTGAAAGTTACGTGATCATATTACTTACAGTAGCAAATTTTTCGGATTTGCAGGAAGAAGGGAAGCAGCTATGTTGCTGACTTCGTTGAGACTGAGAAGAGGTACTTTCTTCCCTATGGGTCCAATCATAGCCTTTTGCTTCTCTTTGATATTCTTGGTTTTGGTCATGGTGCATGAGCTGATACAAACTGGTTCTTATTCTTGCAGCTACACCACCACTATTGTCATGGACGTTCCGGCGGCAGCTGAGAACGACGGGTGCAAGTGTGGCACCAGCTGCGCTTGCGTGGACTGCACTTGTGGTGGTCATTAATCTAAATACTATGTTTAACAATAATTTCAAGTGACTGAAATTGTTGGAATAATGTAATCCTTGATAATAACACGTGTGAAGTGTGTGTGAGTGTGTCAGTCATACTTGTATTTCCTTTCCATAATCATGTAATGGCCTTGGCCTTTTGTGGTTTTTAATGTATTGCTGTTATTAGTATACACTCTGCTCTCCCTTGCCTCTCTTTACTTCATAATTAACCACAATAAGTAACCTAACAAAGTCACTAATAAAATAATTTATTAAAAAAGATTTTATCAAACACCGACATGCTTTACTTGACCAAAATTAAAATATTGACTATAATTAAATCAAAGCGATCCTGAAACTGAGTCATAAGTTGTTATTGGAAACTATCATCATAGGAAAAGGCATTTTATCTCTTATCTCCACTAAGGTTTAAAGAAATATCAACAACACCTTATTAAAGTATTAGAATCATCACTACCTCTCTTGAGATCTCATAAAATCATCATTTACATTTTATGGTCAAAAGGAGGTAAATGATGATTTTCTAAATCTGAAGAGAGGTTACTAATGTTTTCTCATACCTTAGAGGTTTGTTGATATTTCCTTGAACTTCAGGGGAGGTAAGAGATAATTACTCTTAAGAAAAATAGCCAAAAAATATATAGAACATATATAATGAGAAACTGGCTTCCTCAAGAACCCACTCCTGATTTATCAACAACGTTAGGGTAAACTAAAACGAAGATCATACTGAAAAATGGTTTAGTTTTGCTGTATTGGTTTATGCAAGTTTCCTCTTTAAGTTTAATGCCAATTGTTTAGGGTCAGGGTCGGCCACAAAAGTTCTACATGTTATTTATTCCAAAAGGACATCATTCATATAAATAAAAAATATTTTCATTCATTTCTAAATATAAAAAACAAATTTTTTATTCAAATTCAATAAACTCTTTAAATTTAGAGAATCTTCAAATGACTTTTTATATAACCCAAACTTTTTATTATAAAGAGTTTATCTATAGAAACAAGAGTCTAACAACTCTTTATTCTTTAAATATAAATTAAAGAGTGAGTTTGACATATTTTATTTATGATTTATCTCTCCTATTAAATTTTCTTCTTGAAAAAATATATTCTCTCTCCTAAAATTTAAAGAGTTTATTGGATTTGAATAAAAAATTTGTTCTTTATATTTAAAAATCAATGAAGATGTTTTTTATTTATATGAAAGATGCTCTTTATTTGCTCTTTAAAATAAAGAGCATTATTGGAGATGCTCTTAATAAATATGCTCTTTATTTTCAAGAAAGAGACTTAATAGGAGATAGAATTAATAAATAAAATGCATAGAAATTTGTAGTTTATTAATTAAAATTATGATAGAGAGTGAAACTTAAGAGCATCTCCAATGGTGTTCTTTATTTTAAAAAGCATCTTCATTAATTTTTGAATATAAAGAATATAATTTTTATTCATATCCAATACTCTTTAAATTTAATAAAGATGTTCTTTATTTTAAAAAAAGAGATTTAATGGGAGAGAGAATTAATAAATAAAATACATAAGAACTTGTAATTTATTAATTAAAATTAGGATAAATAGTCAAATTTAACTCTCTAAATGTGAAGAGTCAAACTCACTTTCTAATTTATATTTTAAAGATAAAGAGTCTATTAGACTTTTGTTTTTAATAGATAGACTTTTTAGTTTTTATAATAAAGAGTTTGAATCATATAAAGAGTTATTTGGAGATACTCTAACACCATAGCCATATAATGGATAATCACTAAATATAATGGATAATCACTAAATGCAGTATGAGACAGAGGTCCAAAAGTAAAAGAAATGCAAAAAGAACAAGTTCCAATGTACTGAATTTCTTTTTCCCAGAAATTTTTGGACAAATGCACTCTAGAAAGGGCTGAAGAGACCACAAGTAACTTGGCATATGCTGTGTTAGCAGTTGTAAAAGAGTAACCAAGGAGTCAATTCAGTCCTGGTTTGCTTCAAAACAAAGTGAAATTCATAGTAGTCTCTTGATTAATAAATTTAACTTCATGTTCGAAGCTCAAATCAACATAATAACCAGAATCAATGCAGGAAGATCTTTTTAGAGGAAGATCTATAAAGAAGAAAATTACACATGAAAGGTGAATGTTATGATCTGAGTTCTATAACCAACCAAAAATTATGCTTAAAATTAAGATGAATTAAGTATGCATCTAACTTTTGTTACATCCAACATAGCCTATGATTAAGATTTAACAACAAAGATATAAGGAAAACCAATAAGGTATAAGATGAACACTAATACAAAAAGAATTGTGTCAATGTATTTCATCCTCTTTCAATTCAAATTATTTATAAAGGTAACAAAAATCATATAAAATACAAGTATTGCATTCAAAAGTCAAATACCAATTTCTTGCTTTATTTCTTTTGCAAATAATCTGCTATCTGCAATTGTAAAATTTTAATGTTGGTATACCCATCTGGTTTGAATTGTAAAAACTACCTCTATTAATCTCAAACATTAAAGCCCTCAGCACGAAGGCACATGCGATGAGCTTCTATCCATTTTGCACAAGCATCTTCACCATGCTCCACAATGCATTCATCTCTCAGCTTCTTAGTCTCAGGGCAGGCACAGCAGATCTTCTTCTTTGGCTTTGACTCTTGGTCAGGTTTTACGATTGCCAAACCTTGGTTTGGCTGAGACCCCGGCAAAGCTAAGGTAGAAGAAGCATCTTGCAGGGGCAGTCCACCCATTGTCACAAGTACTCGAAGAATTCAGAATGCTAGCAGAAGAAATAATAAGAAAAAAAAGGTGTGTCAATTCAAAGCAGAGAATAAGCTTGAGACAGCATGGTGGATAAACTCCAATATGTTGACTAAAGCTCTAACCAAACAAATATTTATTAATATACATAAAATCCGAATCTATGGATGATTATGGGCTCATAAAGTATGGTATTTTTGTACTTTTAGTTGGTTTCCATTCTTTACAGAAAAAGTAAGCTGATTATGTAGTGAAAACAACAAAAACCTAGTCAAAAAGACATGAAAATGAAATGATCAACCATAATAACATGTGGCATCACTGACAAAGAATCAAAAATTTCTTCAAACTTTCCTTCCCAAATTTTTTTGTAGGTCTTTTCCATATACCCCTTGGCCAATTCATTTCCTACGATCTTTTACTTGCAAATAATATCTCCCCTAAAATAATAAAAAAGAGTCAATACACACCAGGACTGCAAATCCTCTAATAGATCAACTGTGTCAAGGAAAATAAAAAGAGGCCTTATTCGCAGGCTCTCTAGAAAAACTGGTAATGAGGTAAGAGATTAACTATGGTTCTAAGAAACAACTGAATCTCAGAATGAGGTCCAGTACATGCTCTTCCAGTAAAAGGATCAAACATACCCCCACCATCCAGAGAGAGGAGAAAGAAAGAAAAAAAACTGAGTTCCATATCTATAGATCAACACCCCAAACCCTTGACCAGCAGTATCAATCTAATAATATAAGAAATCTGGAAAATTTTCAACCATAAGAAGCACACCAATTTTTTTCCCGCAATCTTACCTAAAAAAATAAGGCATCTAAAGAATACAGTACATAAAGAAAGGAACAATTCATTCCATAGACGACCAAAAAAATGATGAACTTCCAGAATTATAACAACACAATATTCATTGATTAAAGTTTGAGAAATTGCTAAACCAAAAACCTAGAAAGCCATATTAAAAAAAAAAAAAAACAGTTATGATACGATAGCAAGGAATCCAAAAACTAAATAAACGCCCAAACTTTTCCAGAAAAGATCACTTAAATGGATGTCATCTAACCTCACCTACTGAACTGATATCAATGAAACTACGCAAAAAATAAGAAAGCCTCATTCTTCAACTAAGTAATCGGGAATCTAGTTCAACAAACAAACACATACTTAATTTACTCAAAAACTATCAATCTTAACAGCAACCATTAAGATTTTATCATAAATACGGTGAGTTTGCAGCAATTCTTACATTAAATCATTCCCATATAAACAAATATACAGAGGATATAACACAAACCCATAAAGCAAGAGACCGTAAAAAGGGATAAAAGCAACCATATATAAAATTTTCACATTAAATAACATAACAGAAGTGCCTTCTGGCTCAAGAGAGAAAGAGAAGCGAGACTCACAGTTGAACTTTCGCCTGAAAAATTAAACCTTAGGCTGAGGTTTTAGGTTGTGAACAACCGACCAGGGAAGAAAAGTAATAGAAGTGGAATGGGCGGAGTTCGGGTCGATTAAATTATATTTGGCTGTTGGGCTTCTGGCCCATGTAGATAAATAGTAGAAACAAAAAAAAAAAAATGATTGCGTTTTGCATACAGTTCCAAGAGATTAAAAAAAATATTTATAATTTTTTATTGTATGAACTAATTTATAACTGCTATTATTGAGTAAACGCTGAACGTTTGTGATACGGATCAACTCAATACCTCAGGAACAGTGCGGCCTTAGGTGCTTCACACACATATGCTCTCACGCATGCACTTCTGCCTCCTCTCTTGGGTCTTTGTTCTCTGAGTTAAACACCTTTGTTTAGGTTGGGTTAAGACTCACTAAGGGCTTCAAGGGGAGTATAGCATCTACGGACACACCATTCGGTGAGTATTGAAATGTCATGACAAGTGACAAAACTAAGGGTGAACATGTGTAAAGGGTAGAACCAAAACCGGAAAATACCCACCGTTGGTTCTATTCTAAAAAAATTGGAACCGATTTCTCAAATTTGGTTCTGGTTCTACAGTGCTGGAATCAAGAATTGGAACCAAAACCAAGATACGGGTACTAGGTAGGAACCATGACTGAATTGTAACACTTTGTAAATTATTAGGACGTGTATTTGTCATTTTTTAAAAGTATGGGGTATTAAAGTTAACCCAAGTACCCGGAATGGTTCCGGTTCTTCAAAAAAATGTGGAGTTCCGGAACCAATCAACCCTAGGCAGAACAGCAACTCAACAGATCAGTGGCAATTGTTGCTCTGGTTATTTGCTAAGCAAAAGAATAAAAGTGCCACCGCCACAGCAGCTAAAAGATAACAGATAGGAATCCAACAAAGCTGAAGCTAAAGGAAAACTAGAGAAGAAAATGACTTGCTTGCATATGAATGCTGCCAATTAGCACTGACTTTTTCTCACTTGATGATAGAAAAGAGAATATTTTATCTCTTTCTTAGCTTTGGAAAAAGTAAGGAATTACATTTTGTTTGCAATGTGAATCTGGTGAGTCATAAAGATGTTCATGCCCAGCAAAGTTGTTGAACAACACAAAGCAACAAGATTTAACAAAGTGAGAAAAAGCTGTTGTGAATATATTTTCTTGTCATTTTCATTAAAGATGAAGAGAATTTACAGGAAATTTCATTGAATGACAAACATAAAAGGAACATATTAAAGTGTGCTAACAAGAAACAGAAATGAAGCATATTCAAATCCTCAAGTGAACTGTCAATCCCAGTTTCTTGCATGAAGGATGTTCCAAATCAGAAACAGAGCAATGCACCACCATAACCCGGATCTAGTTTGCGCTTGCTCTCCAAATATCCGAAACAGTAAAGATTCACCCTGCAATCTAAAAAAAACGCAAGAAACTCCAGTAGGCTAAACCCAGAATGTACACAAACTATTATTCAAATTTAACCATTTCAATCGGCATCAAATTCACAGTTCATCCACTAAACACTGTTTATCCAAATGTACGGCAATGCAAAATCTTAACTAATCATACTTCTCTCCATGAATACACAAGAAAGAAAATCCATGAAAGAGTAATGCAATATTCCAACAACCTGCCTAGGCAAATCATGAGCAAGATCCTCAAGCGCCCTTCCGAAGTAAACTCTCCAAACAGCTACTGAAACATGAAGAAGAACACACCCTTTAGCAAAGAAGCTCTGGAATTCTCGATCTTTAACAAATGCTACCATAAATAAAAGGAACCCATAGAAAACAAAAGCAACCCAGAAAAGGAGTCAGAGGTTTGGATCAAGAGCTGATCATGAGGTGTTGAACCTTGAAGCTTACTTGCAACCTCAATACCATGACTAAACAACTGAAATCTCTCGGTGTAAAACATCATAAAGGTTCCACATGTTAGAGCTAGAACAGAATGCAAAATACATATCAAAAAGAACCCAGCTGAGCCCATGGACCAAATCAACAATCCAACTTTAATTCAAATCAACAACATGGGCATCTACAGAGGAAAAGCCGGCATGTGAATTCAAGTGGTCAATACCCTAATCTCACCAAATTATACACTTTCAACAACCCAATAAAACCCCTAACGGGCTGAAACAGTTGCATGGATCAAGAATCCAGATTCAGAAAACAGGTACAAACTATGAGAACCTAACCCTAAACCTCACCTTTACCTACGATAAACACATCAAAAACTTTACCAATCAAAACCTGAAAATTCCCCGCGAACACAGCCACAGCACCCAACTATCGAAACCCTTTTGAACCTTACACTATAGGCACAAAAGAGAGATATGATCCAAGAAATCCTTGGGTTAAAGAGAAATGAAACTGGAAAACCGGATTTTAACTATAAAGTCTGAATTTTACTTACTCATGGGTTGTAAAACAGCTATATTGATGGTAAAAACAAAAACTTTATGGAAGAATTGAACTTGGTAGGGTTGTTAGGGTGAAATATTAAGAACAGCAGCTGGCAAAACAAGAAAACATAGAGATAAGTGAGTGCCAACCATACCTCCCATGCAAAAAATGCCCATATCTTTTCAAGAACTTGCTTCTTCTTCGGCAAAGCAATTCAACAAAGGTGGGGTCATGGATTCATGGGTTACATGATTTTTCTAGTAGCTGCAATGAACTAATGATGGCAGTGTTTTAGATAATTTTGTTATTCTGGAATTGGAACATTTGGGAAGATTTTGTCACCATTTTTATGTCAAAGTCAATAAAGGTGGATTTCTAGACATTTTTGTGTTTATTTAAATTATTTTTGGTTAAGGAAAGGAAAGTAGTAAATTAATTAATTAATTTTTTTTTAATACTTACTTTAGTTTTATTTTTATACCTAAATTCAATGCCATGAATTTATGTTTCAGTCTAACAATTCTGTTCACTAGAAAAAGAATGAATAAATAAATACATAAAATCAGCTTAATAAATGATATGAATATAAAATAATAGCATACATAATTTTATATAAAAAGTACTCAATAATGTCCATAATAGTTAATACTATATGGGATATCCACAAAGTTGAATTATATCACAACTTATTTATAGGATCATGTAATATTATTTTCTTATAATTAATTTGCTACTGTTACATCACTGAAACTTGAAACTTGAAACTTGAAAGTGAACATTAATCAAATTATCGTAACTCCGTGATGGAGGATTCCGTGGGTGGTTTCGAAAGTGATTTGGACGTTGGGATTAATGAAAAAGGGAAAAAAACCACCGACTGATGTTGCTAACTTGCACTGTCTTTGGCTAACGTGCACTATCCTTTTTTTTTTCTTCTTCCAACGGCCAAAATATTTGTAACCATTCTATCTTCACTTAAACGAACTTTTGACCATCTTACTTTCATCACAAAGAAAATATAATAAAATTATGCTTGAGTATAATATGATATTTAAAGGTCTAAGAGCAAGAAATTTCATCATTAAACTTTTTTTTTGGGTGGGAAAAAGTGGTAACTCTTTAAAAACTGGAAAATTATTGAAATAAAAGCACCTCAAAATGTAGCTTGGCAGCAGCCTGTGTGACATGAAGTTTTAAGTATTGACAACAGTTAAAGGAAGAAAGGATATGGACATTCTTTCAACAAAAATTTGAGCCTCTAAACTTTCTAATAATTCTCCACTCCATGTAATAGAAACCGATTAAAATCAAAGGTACATCATTTCTTCTCTCATTTTTTTCTTTCTGATGCCAAAAAAAAAAAAAAAATACAGTTAAAATGAATGTTACTGGTTTTATTTTCCAGCTGAAACCTTTGATGTCGCTTGGAACCAAGATTTCTTATCTTTTTGCCACGTCTCCTCCTCACGGGTTGCTTCCAGTGACATTGCCAGCAACCGGCAAACGAATTGGTAACTGAGTATTGGCAGCAGGAGGGACACAGTTGCCCATAAAAAGATCACACAATGAGCATACACCACAACCATCAAACCAAATAAGGATGAAACAGATTACAACTAACGTAACAACAAATCCCTCTAACTTAACACAAAAAAAAAACAACAAATCCCTTTTTTCATCCTTATGAGAAAGACATAACCGCAAATATTGGGTATGCCCAGATATATTAAACTTCAAATGTGTGTGTTGTAGGATATCAAGATTAAATGATCCGGTTGTGCCAAAGATGTTACATAAGTTTAGCAAATATAGAGAAAACAAAAACAAAATCACTTAAGAAAAGTAAATCACTCTTGGCCTCAATAAACCACTGAGAGTCAAGTCCCAGAGAATAAGCTCTTCAATATAGAAAAATACAATTAATAAAGACAAATTGTAGACATAAAAATTTAACTACTTTTTATTCTTTAGTTTGCTGGTACTAACTAATGAATTGGGGGTTGTACAAGAGATTAGGGATCAAGCCCACTCACACCATGACTGAAAGGGGTTTAGATTAAATTCGCAAAATCTGAGAAAAAGAAGAAAATGAAAAAAAAACTGAAAAGAAGCATATAGTACCTTATGATGAAGCGATAGAACGATCTTCCAATCACCACAATATGCAACACGAAATACACACCTGTTTCACAAAATTGCGCCTCTCACAATCCAGAAACAATTGACACTCCAATCAACTCTTGCCCTTATCTTGTCTCTAACTGTAAACAAGCTTAATGATCCCCGAAGTAAAATATTACTTCATGAACCATAGGCAGGTGAATAGATTTGTAATGGGAATGTGCTCCCTATTAGGTGCAGCCTTCAGGAACATTCTACGAAATAAATCACAAATCAGAAATCTCAACTGACATAAAAAGATAATATTTACACATAATCATGCACTAACCACTAGTTATAGGAAGCTTGCCTCGGACATTCCTTTAAATTCCATCTGGTAATCAATAGAGGCGTTGTCATATTTTCCTGCAGCTTTGTTAGCTTCAGCCTCCAGAACACGTCAAAGCGTCTATAGGTTTGAGATTGCAAAAGTAGCATTTTGGCGCCACAAAAATCTGAAAGAAAAGATAATAGTATGAAGTAATGAAAAAACTAAGGTGGTCAAAATAAGTTAACATCAGAGCTCTGTTGTGTCCCACCCTATGGACCGTAAGCTTAATTCAAGCATGAATATCAATGTTATTGATACTTATAAACACTTTCACATATTATACTGATTCAGAGGTAAGGTGTGTCAACAACATGTGCAGTGCTGTGAAAAAGCCAAATGGTGACTAATTTTTTTAATATGAAAGCTTGAAATTCTTTCTTCACACAAGCAAAAAGAGAGGAAAATTATTCTTGATCATTCAGAAAGAAATGAAAGATAAGGCTAAGTATATCATAAAAGTAACACTTAACAGCTTGGCCAAAAGTGACAGGCCAATTGGTAGTTAGTTCCTACAACTTTTACCAGAACTTAAGGATCAAAACTTTTGAATGCCACATAATGAGCCAAGAGGCTAGGAGATAACTGTTTCATAACCTCAATGCAAACAGGTCAACTCAAGAATAGTAAACATAACAGCAGCAGATGCATAACATAACAATTAAAACGAGATGCTCATCTTCCCCAAGTAATAATGAGAAAATTCTAAGCGTGTTTCTTCACTCTGCTCTTTTTGCCCAACTATTTTGGCTTAAAATATTGCCATAAGCTCAAAACTCAGAGCCACCCATACTAAATGACCATCAAGGCATATATGGTGGACGGATAGGCTTCGGTCAGGACATTTAGAAAAGCACTCTGATTAGTATAACAGAAAGTTCTATAATCTTGAAATTCGGTATACCCTCCTCTTAGATGCATCACTTCAGGCTCCAATTATGCCTAAATGAAGGATGACACAAAACAGAAAATAGTTGTACCTCTCAAGAATTGATATGGATCCTTAACAAGCTGGAGCTTTCCATCAATCCATATAGAATATCGAACATTGGGGAAATCCTGGGCAAAAGAAGCTCAGAACCTGAAACATGTACATCCCAGGTCAACGACATCCAGCAAACTTGAGAAACTAAAGCACCATTAACCAATAAACAAAATCCACATCACCAACAGCATGTAAGAGTGCTGGTTCTAACGTGCATAAAAATGATTTCTCCAGTTAAACACATTGTTTAGTCATAATACAAAAATATATTTTAACCAGATTATCCTTCAAACAAGCATACTTGTACAAATAATTATAATCGGGATGTATCTCCAAATGATCTAATACTTGACCCAACCATCAAAGCCATCTTTATGCCAAGAATTGCGCATGAACTCATGGAACACTCAAGAACATCTCACAAATAAGTAAGGTTGGTCCACTAAGTCATTGCCAAAATGATTATAATGTCATGTTATTGAACAGTTTACTCAAATCTTGTCATATTATCTCATGCAGATATTTTTAATATCAAAACAGTTAAAATTACAAAATAACGTTCAGGATATCAGACATGCTAATATGAGGGTAAAAGGAATAAAAGAAAAATTGCAAGCAATTTAACCACATTTCTTAAGAGTCAAAATGGAATAAATCAAAACTGACCTTTCCCTTTCGTCTTGCATCACTATAAGGGATGTTGTGGACAACAACAATTCTCCACAACCCAACTCTCTTACTGCTGTCTAGAATGCTAGAATTCTTCATATAAGCCTCTGTTTCTTCATCAATAAACATATAGAAAGGGATATTTTTCCTCACTGCTTCACTAATGTTCTGGGGCTGCTGCAATAAATCATAGTTCCCCGCCAAAGATATCATGATCAGGAAAAGAAGAAGGTAGAAGTGAAAACTTCTCTATATGAGTTAATTTTGCTCAGCAGTATCAAATATAGCCGAACCAACAATGACCTCATGGAACTGCATCTGCGAGGTCAGCTTCATCAAATTCAAATCCAGTTCGGACTCCAGGTCTACTTCCATTGACAAATCTAATTGAAATGAAAATATATATGAACCACAAAAATGGCACAAGAAGAAAAATTAGAATCAGTTAACTGAAGGAAAATGTTATATCAGTTAAAGGCATCATATCCAAAATAACAATAATAATTAATTATATAAATTATAATCTAAAACAGTTACAAGAGTGTCATATTAAACAACCAACAAAAGTTAAACCAACCCACAGTGCACTGCCGTGGACTCTTTTATGTCAAAAGAATCAACTCTCTGTTTTAAAGAAGGATATCCACCAAAGTCAGAACCTCCATGTGGTTCAGTTTTAATGGATTTTTATCCTTCAAGTTTTTTTCTACAACATCTATATTACCTACAGGATCTCCTGCCCCTGAGTTGCCATATGGAACCAACCTTCCAGTATATACGAGAATGGCAAGTATGAAATGATTCTTCCTCTAATAGTGGAAGATAGGTGATACATTAGAATAAGGAATTTACACAGTACTTCTCAGTGGCAATTAAACAAACAACTCCAACAGTTTCTTTCTCAAAAAATCCTTTCGATAATAATAATGTATTAACTGAAAAGAAAAAGTTGTCAATCCACCAGCTATTTAAAAACCACCATTTTCAACAACTCTCAAGCAAACCGTGTCCAGTATTTGACCGCAATCTGTTTCTCCCATTTAACTTAATTTACAATCTTTCCTTTCTTTTCAAATTTTATTTGCTTGTTATTATTCTTCACAGGAGCAAAAACTATGTCCAGCATTCCAATTTGATAATTATAGAATCTTCTACTCTTACTAAATCGGATAACCATGACACAGACTAATGATAACGGAAGTAAAACCCAAAACCAGGTGTTAAATAAGAAACATAAGTACAACTTTGTAAAGACACATTTTTCACAAGAATGGGTAGCTAAAAACATGCAAGTCAAATTTATAACTTCAAGAAAATGTACTACTTAAATATACTCTGTTGAAAAACAAATTAAAAAAGTTAAGAAACAAGATCATACGCCATTTCAATGCTTACAGCAACATCCATCAAGAGAAGAAGAAAAAAAAGGGGAAATGTTTATTATTTTCGGATTGACATGGACAAACAGCAATTAGAGATTTGTATAACATGATTTAATCATTAATTTCCCGTGTGTTCATCAGCTTTATTCATTCCAGTTTGTCCAATTAAACAATGAGAACTGATACAAGAAGCTCTAAGCTGTATTCAGAGCTGAATAAGTTCAGGGCCAAAGGCACTCACATTAACAAGCAACAATAAAAAGGAAAAACATGTGTACGAAAAAATCAACATATAAAAAGCTACAGTTAGTTTGCCTCAGGTTTTTGCTCAAATCCAATGCCTAGTTCTGGAAGATCAACTTTCCCTTGATATATATCAAATAGTTGTGGAACCTGTTCCTGATACTTGGACAAAAATTTGTCTATGAAGTGCTTTTCAGTGGCCTTCAGCACAGAAGACATACTCAAATTATTCTTAATCAAGTCGTTAAACAACAAAACCCTTAAAACTCTGCATCTCGGGATGATTGTCTTCTCCAAACTACAACATAAAGCCCTAGTGGTTCTAGCAACCGCTGAAGGTTGCCAACCCATCTTGTTCACAAAAAAGTCCATTTTGGTATTTATGTTCTCCACAGACCGAGTCATACATCTGGGATGGCTTCTAAAAGCTAACCAGAATTCATTTTCAGACCAACCCCAACTCCTATAAACCTTCCGTTTTTGTTCCCAGGAATTTTCGGTCATGCCCGCAACCGTTATGAGTGCGTCCATAAATGCAATGGTTGAAGGATTGAATCCCATCTCCACTTTAATTCAAATCAACAACATGGGCATCTACAGAGGAAAAGCCGGCATGTGAATTCAAGTGGTCAATACCCTAATCTCACCAAATTTATACACTTTCAACAACCCAATAAAACCCCTAACGGGCTGAAACAGTTGCATGGATCAAGAATCCAGATTCAGAAAACAGGTACAAACTATGAGAACCTAACCCTAAACCTCACCTTTACCTACGATAAACACATCAAAAACTTTACCAATCAAAACCTGAAAATCTCCCCGCGAACACAGCACCACAGCACCCAACTATCGAAACCCTTTGAACCTTACACTATAGGCAACAAAAGAGAGAGATCCAAGAAATCCTGGGTTAAAGAGAAATGAAACTGGAAAACGGATTTTTAACTATAAAGTCTGAATTTTACTTACTCATGGGTTGTAAAACAGCTATATTGATGGTAAAAACAAAAACTTTATGGAAGAATTGAACTTGGTAGGGTTGTTAGGGTGAAATATTAAGAACAGCAGCTGGCAAAACAAGAAAACATAGAGATAAGTGAGTGCCAACCATACCTCCCATGCAAAAAATGCCCATATCTTTTCAAGAACTTGCTCTTCTTCGGCAAAGCAATTCAACAAAGGTGGGGTCATGGATTAGGGTCTACATGATTTTTCTAGTAGCTGCAATGAACTAATGATGGCAGTGTTTTAGATAATTTTGTTATTCTGGAATTGGAACATTTGGGAAGATTTTGTCACCATTTTTATGTCAAAGTCAAAAGGTGGATTTTAGACATTTTTGTGTTTATTTAAATTATTTTTGGTTAATGGAAAGGAAAGTAGTAAATTAATTAATTAATTTTTTTTTAATATTACTTTAGTTTTATTTTTATACCTAAATTCAATGCCATGAATTTATGTTTCAGTCTAACAATTCTGTTACTAGAAAAAGAATGAATAAATAAATACATAAAATCAGCTTAATAAATGATATGAATATAAAATAATAGCATACATAATTTTATATAAAAGTACTCAATAATGTCCATAATAGTTAATACTATATGGGATATCCACAAAGTTGAATTATATCACAACTTATTTATAGGATCATGTAATATTATTTTCTTATAATTAATTTGCTACTGTTACATCACTTGAAACTTGAAACTTGAAACTTGAAAGTGAACATTAATCAAATTATCGTAACTCCGTGATGGAGGATTCCGTGGGTGGTTTCGAAAGTGATTTGGACGTGGATTAATGAAAAAGGGAAAAAAACCACCGACTGATGTTGCTAACTTGCACTGTCTTTGGCTAACGTGCACTATCCTTTTTTTTTTCTTCTCCAACGGCCAAATATTTGTAACCATTCTATCTTCACTTAAACGAACTTTTGACCATCTTAACTTTCATCACAAAGAAAATTATTAATAAAATTATGCTTGAGTACATAATATGATATTTAAAGGTCTAAGAGCAAGAAATTTCATCATTAAACTTTTTTTTTGGGTGGGAAAAAGTGGTAACTCTTTAATAAACTGGAAAATTTATTGAAATAATAAGCACCTCAAAATGTAGCTTGGCAGCAGCCTGTGTGACATGAAGTTTTAAGTATTGACAACAGTTAAAGGAAGAAAGGATATGGACATTCTTTCAACAAAAATTTGAGCCTCTAAACTTCTTAATAATTCTCCACTCCATGTAATAGAAACCGATTAAAATCAAAGTACATCATTTCTTCTCTCATTTTTTTCTTTCTGATGCCAAAAAAAAAAAAAAAATACAGTTAAAATGAATGTTACTGGTTTTATTTCCAGCTGAAACCTTTGATGTCGTTGGAACCAGATTTCTTATCTTTTTGCCACGTCTCCTCCTCACGGGTTGCTTCCAGTGACATTGCCAGCAACCGGCAAACGAATTGGTAACTGAGTATTGGCAGCAGGAGGGACACAGTTGCCCATAAAAAGATCACACAATGAGCATACACCACAACCACAAACCAAATAAGGATGCAAACAGATTACAACTAACGTAACAACAAATCCCTCTACTTAACACAAAAAAAAAACAACAAATCCCTTTTTTCATCCTTATTGAGAAAGACATAACCGCAAATATTGGGTATGCCCAGAATATTATTAAACTTCAAATGTGTGTGTTGTAGATATCAAGATTAAATGATCCGGTTGTGCCAAAGATGTTACATAAGTTTAGCAAATATAGAGAAAACAAAAACAAAATCACTTAAGACAAAGTAAATCACTCTTGGCCTCAATAAACCACTGAGAGTCAAGTCCAGAGAATAAGCTCTTCAATATAGAAAAATACAATTAATAAAAGACAAATTGTAGACATAAAAATTTAACTACTTTTTATTCTTTAGTTTGCTGGTACTAACTAATGAATTGGGGGTTGTACAAGAGATTAGGGATCAAGCCCACTCACACCATGACTGAAAGGGGTTTAGATTAAATTCGCAAAATCTGAGAAAAAGAAGAAAATGAAAAAAACTGAAAAGAAGCATATAGTACCTTATGATAACGATAGAACCGATCTTCCAATCACCACAATATGCAACACGAAATACACACCTGTTTCACAAAATTGCGCCTCTCACAATCCAGAAACAATTGACACTCCAATCAACTCTTGCCCTTATCTTGTCTCTAACTGTAAACAAGCTTAATGATCCCCGAAGTAAAATATTACTCATGAACCATAGGCAGGTGAATAGATTTGTAATGGGAATGTGCTCCCTATTAGGTGCAGCCTTCAGGAACATCTACGAAATAAATCACAAATCAGAAATCTCAACTGACATAAAAAGATAATATTTACACATAATCATGCACTAACCACTAGTTATAGGAAGCTTGCCTCGGACATTCCTTTAAAATTCCATCTGGTAATCAATAGAGGCGTTGTCATATTTTCCTGCAGCTTTGTTAGCTTCAGCCTCCAGAACACGTCCAAGCGTCTATAGCGTTTGAGATTGCAAAAGTAGCATTTTGGCGCACAAAAATCTGAAGAAAAGATAATAGTATGAAGTAATGAAAAACTAAGGTGGTCAAAATAAGTTAACATCAGAGCTCTGTTGTGTCCCACCCTATGGACCGTAAGCTTAATTCAAGCATGAATATCAATGTTATTGATACTTATAAACACTTTCACATATTATACTGATATTCAGAGGTAAGGTGTGTCAACAACATGTGCAGTGCTGTGAAAAGCCAAATGGTGACTAATTTTTTTATATGAAAGCTTGAAATTCTTTCTTCACACAAGCAAAAAGAGAGGAAAATTATTCTTGATCATTCAGAAAGAAATGAAAGATAAGGCTAAGTATATCATAAAAGTAACACTTAACAGCTTGGCCAAAAGTGACAGGCCAATTGGTAGTTAGTTCCTACAACTTTTACCAGAACTTAAGGATCAAAACTTTTGAATGCCACATAATGAGCCAGAGGCTAGGAGATAACTGTTCATAACCTCAATGCAAACAGGTCAACTCAAGAATAGTAACATAACAGCAGCAGATTGCATAACATAACAATTAAAACGAGATGCTCATCTTCCCCAAGTAATAATGAGAAAATTCTAAGCGTGTTTCTTCACTCTGCTCTTTTTGCCCAACTATTTTGGCTTAAATATTGCCATAAGCTCAAAAAATCAGAGCCACCATATAAATGACCATCAAGGCATATATGGTGGACGGATAGGCTTCGGTCAGGACATTTAGAAAAGCACTCTGATTAGTATAACAGAAAGTTCTATAATCTTGAAATTCGGTATACCCTCCTCTTAGATGCATCACTTCAGGCTCCAATTATGCCTAAATGAAGGATGACACAAAACAGAAAATAGTTGTACCTCTCAAGAATTGATATGGATCCTTAACAAGCTGGAGCTTTCCATCAATCCATATAGAATATCGAACATTGGGGAAAATCCTGTGGCAAAAGAAGCTCAGAACCTGAAACATGTACATCCCAGGTCAACGACATCCAGCAAACTTGAGAAACTAAAGCACCTTAACAATAAACAAAATCCACATCACCAACAGCATGTAAGAGTCTGGTTCTAACGTGCATAAAAATGATTTCTCCAGTTCAACACATTGTTAGTCATAATACATAAAATATATTTTAACCAGATTATCCTTCAAACAAGATACTTGTACAAATAATTATAATCGGGATGTATCTCCAAATGATCTAATACTTGACCCAACCATCAAAGCCATCTTTATGACCAAGATTGCGCATGAATCACTGGAAACTCCAAGACATCTCAACAAAAAGATCACTTAAATGGATGTCATCTAACCTCAACCTACTGAACTGATCATCAATGAGAACTACGCAAAAATAAAGAAAGCCTCATTCTTCAACCTAAGTAATCGGGAATCTAGTTCCAACAAACAACACATACTTAATTTACTTCAAAACTATCAATCTTTAACAGCAACCCATTTAAGATTTTATCATAAATACGGTGAGTTTGCAGCAATTCTTACATTAAATCATTCCCATATAAACAAATATACAGAGGATATAACACAAACCCATAAAGCAAGAGACCGTAAAAAGGGTAAAAGCAACCATATATAAACATTTTCACATTAAATAACATAACAGAAGTGCCTTCTGGCTCAAAGAGAAAGAGAAGCGAGACTCACAGTTGAACTTTCGCCTGAAAAATTAAACCTTAGGCTGAGGTTTTAGGTTGTGAACAACCGACCAGGGAAGAAAAGTAATAGAAGTGGAATGGGCGGAGTTCGGGTCGATTAAATTATATTTGGCTGTTGGGCTTCTTGGCCCATGTAGATAAATACTAGAAACAAAAAAAAATGATTGTTTTTGCATACAGTTCCAGGAGATTAAAAAAATATATTTTCATAATATTTTATCATGCATGAACTAATTTTATAACTGCTATTATTTGAGTAAACGCTGAACGTTTTGTGATACGGATCAACTCAATACCCTCAGGAACAGTGCGGCCTTAGGTGCTTCACACGCTATATGCTCTCACGCATATGCACTTCTTGCCTCCTCTCTTGGCTTCTTTGTTCTCTTGAGTTAAACACCTTTTGTTTAGGTTGGGTTAAGACTCACTAAGATGCTTCAAGGGGAGTATAGCATCTAAGGCCACACTGTTCGTGTGAGTATTGAAACTGCCGTGACAAATGACAAAACTAGGGGTGAGCATATATAAAGGGTAGAACTAGAACCCGCGAGTACCCACCCGTCGGTTCTGATTCTGAAAAATTGGAACTGTAAATTCTCGGGTTTGGTTCTGGTTCCTACAGTGCTGGAATCAGGAATTGGAACCAAAACCAAGGTACGGGTACTTAGGTAGGAACCATGACTGAATTGTAACTTTTGTAAATTATTGGACGTGTGTTTGTAATTTTTTGGGGGTGTATTTGTCATTTTTTTAAAAGTATGGGATAATTAAAGTTAACCCAAGTACCCGGAATTTCCTTCAAAAAATGTGGAGTACCCAGACCAATCAACCCTAGGCAGAACAGCAACTCAACAGATCAGTGGCAATTTGTTGCTCTGGTTATTTGCTAAGCAAAAGAATAAAAGTGCCACCGCCCACAGCAGCTAAAAGATAACAGATAGGAATCCCAACAAAGCTGAAGCTAAAGGAAAACTAGAGAAAGAAAATGACTTGCTTGCATATGAATGCTGCCAATTAGCACTGACTTTTTCTCACTTTGATGATAGAAAAGAGAATATTTTATCTCTTTCTTAGCTTTGGAAAAAGTTAAGGAATTACATTTTGTTTGCAATGTGAATCTTGGTGAGTCATAAAGATGTTTATGCCCCAGCAAAGTTGTTGAACAACACAAAAGCAACAAGATTTAACAAAGTGAGAAAAAGCTGTTTGTGAATATATTTTCTTGTCATTTTCATATAAAGATGAAGAGAATTTACAGGAAATTTCATTGAATGACAAAACATAAAAGGAACAATATTAAAGTGTGCTTAACAAGAACAGAAATTGAAGCATATTCAATATCCTCAAGTGAACTTGTCAATCCCAGTTTCTTGCACTTGAAGGATGTTCCAAATCAGAAACAGAGCAATGCACCCACCATAACCCGGAGTCTAGTTTGCGCTTGCTCTCCAAATATCCCAAACAGTAAAGATTCACCCTGCAATCTAAAAGAAAACGCAAGAAACTCCAGTAGGCTAAACCCAGAATTGTACACAAACTATAATTCAAATTTAACCATTTCAATCCGCCTCAAATTCACAGTTCCATCCATTAAACACTGTTTATCCAAATTGTACTTGGCAATGCAAAATCTTAACTAATCATACTTCTCTCTCCATGAATACACAAGAAAGAAAATCCATGAAAGAGCTAATGCAATATCTCCAACAACCTGCCTAGGCAAATCATGAGCAAGATCCTCAAGCGCCCTTCCGAAGTAAACTCTCCAAACAGCTACTGAAACATGAAGAAGAACACACCCTTTAGCAAAGAAGCTCTGGAATTCTCGATCTTTAACAAATGCTACCATAAATAAAAGGAACCCAATAGAAAACAAAAGCAACCCAGAAAAGGAGTCAGAGGTTTGGATCAAGAGCTGATCATGAGGTGTTGAACCTTGAAGCTTACTTGCAACCTCAATACCATGACTAAACACTGAAATCTCTCTGGTGTAAAACATCATAAAGGTTCCACATGTTAGAGCTAGAACAGAATGCAAAATACATATCAAAAAGAACCCAGCTGAGCCCATGGACCAAATCAACAATCCAACTTTAATTCAAATCAACAACATGGGCATCTACAGAGGAAAAGCCGGCACGTGAATTCAAGTGGTCAATACCCTAAATCTCACCAAATTTATACACTTTCAACAACCCAATAAAACCCCTAACGGGCTGAAACAGTTCCATGGATCAAGAATCCAGATTCAGAAAACAGGTACAACCTATAAGAACCTAACCCTAAACCTCACCTTTACCTACGATAAACACATCAAAGAACTCAATTTACCAATCAAAACACTGAAAATCTCCCCCGCCAACCAACTATCGAAACCCTTTTGAACCCTTACACTATAGAAAACAAAAGAGAGATAGATCCAAGAAATCCTTGGGTTAAAGAGAAATGAAACTGGAAAACCGGCTTTTTAACTATAAAGTTTGAATTTTACATTACTCATGGGTTGTAAAACAGCTATATTGATGGTAAAAACAAAAACTTTATGGAAGAATTGAACTTGGGTAGGGTTGTTAGGGTGAAATATTAAGATACAGCAGCTGGCAAAACAAGAAAACATAGAGATAAGTGAGTGCCAACCATACCTCCCATGCAAAAAATGCCCATATCTTTTTCAAGAACTTGCTTTCTTCTTCGGCAAAGCAATTCAACAAAGGTGGGGTCATGGATTCATGGGTCTACATGATTTTTCTAGTAGCTGCAATGAACTAATGATGGCAGTGTTTTAGATAATTTTGTTATTCTGGAATTGGAATCATTTGGGAAGATTTTTGTCACCATTTTTATGTCAAAGTCAATAAAGGTGGATTTCTAGACATTTTTTGTGTTTATTTAAATTATTTTTGGTTAATGGAAAGGAAAGTAGTAAATTAATTAATTAATTTTTTTTTAATTTATTTACTTTAGTTTTATTTTATTTTATACCTAAATTCAATGCCATGAATTTATGTTTCAGTCTAACAATTCTGTTCATACTAGAAAAAGAATGAATAAATAAATACATAAAATCAGCTTAATAAATTATATGAATATAAAATAATAGCATACATAATTTTATATAAAAGTACTCAATAATGTCCATAATAGTTAATACTATATGGGATATCCACAAAGTTGAATTAATATCACAACTTATTTATAGGATCATGTAATATTATTTTCTTATAATTAATTTGCTACTGTTACATCACTTGAAACTTGAAACTTGAAACTTGAAAGTGCAACATTAATCAAATTATCAGTAACTCCGTGATGAGGATTCCGTGGGTGGTTTCGAAAGTGATTTTGGACGTTGGGATTAATTGAAAAAGGGAAAAAAACCACCGACTACGATGTTGCTAACTTGCACTGTCTTTGGCTAACGTGCACTATCCTTTTTTCTTTTCTTCTTCTCCAACGGCCAAAATATTTGTTAACCATTCTATCTTCACTTATAACGAACTTTTGACCATCTTACCTTTCATCACAAAGAAAATTATTAATAAAATTATGCTTTGAGTACTAATATGATAATTTAAAGGTCTAAGAGCAAGAAAATTTCATCATTAAACTTTTTTTTTTGGGTGGGAAAAAGTGGTTAACTCTTTAATAAACTGGAAAATTAATTGAAATAATAAGCACCTCAAAATTGTAGCTTGGCAGCAGCCTGTGTGACATGAAGTTTTAAGTATTGACAACAGTTAAAGGAAGAAAGGATATGGACATTCTTTCAACAAAAATTTGAGCCTCCTAAACTTCTATAATTAATTCTCCTACTCCATGTAATTAGAAACCGATTTAAAATCAAAGTTACATCATTTCTTCTTCTTCATTTTTTTTCTTTTCTGATGCCAAAAAAAAAAAAAAAATAACAGTTAAAATGAAATGTTACTGGTTTTATTTCCAGCTGAAACCTTTTGATGTCGCTTGGAACCAGATTTCTTATCTTTTTTGCCACGTCTCCTCCTCACCGGGTTGCTTCCAGTGACATTGCCAGCAACCGGCAAACGAATTGGTAACTGAGTATTGGCAGCAGGAGGGACCATTTGCCCATAAAAAGATCACACAATGAGCATACACCACAACCATCAAACCAAATAAGGATGCAAACAGATTACAACTTAACGTAACAACAAATCCCTCTACTTAACACAAAAAAAAAACAACAAATCCCTTTTTTTCATCCTTATTGAGAAAGACATAACCGCAAATATCTGGGTATGCCCAGAATATTATTTAAACTTCAAATGTTGTGGTTGTAGAGATATCAAGATTAAATGATCAGTGTTGTCCAAAGATGTTACATAAGTTTAGCAAATATAGAGAAAAACAAAAACAAAATCACTTAAGACAAAGTAAATCACTCTTTGGCCTCAATAAACCACTTGAGAGTCAAGTCCCCAGAGAATAAGCTCTTCAATATAGAAAAATACAATTAATAAAAGACAAATTGTAGACATAAAAATTTAACTACTTTTTATTCTTTAGTTTGCTGGTACTAACTAATTGAATTGGGGGTTGTACAAGAGATTAGGGATCAAGCCCCACTCACACCATGACTGAAAGGGGTTTAGATTAAATTCGCAAAATCTGAAAAAGAAGTAGAAAATGCAAAAAACTGAAAAGAAGCATATAGTACCTTATGATAATGCATAGAACCGATCTTCCAATCACCACAATATGCAACACGAAATACACACCTGTTTCACAAAATTGCACCTCTCACAATCTAGAAACATATTGACACTCCAATCAACTCTTGCCCTTATCTTGTCTCTAACTGTAAACAAGCTTAACTGATCCCTCGAAGTAAAATCATCTACTTCATTGAACCATAGGCAGGTGAATAGATTTGTAATGGGAATGTGCTCCCTTATTATGGTGCAGCCTTCAGGAACATCTACAGAAATATAATCACAAATCAGAAATCTCAACTGACATAAAAAGATAATATTTACACATAATCATGCACTAACCACTAGTTATAGGAAGCTTGGTCTCGGACATTCCTTTAAAATTCCATCTGGTAATCAATAGAGGCGTTGTCATATTTTCCTGCAGCTTTGTTAGCTTCAGCCTCCACAAACACGTCAAAGCGTCTGTAGTGTCTTGAGATTGCAAAAGTAGCATTTTGGCGCCACAAAAATCTGAAGAAAAGATAATAGTTTGAAGTAATGAAAAACTAAGGTGGTCAAAATAAGTTAACATCAGAGCTCTGTTGTGTCCCCACCCTATGGACCATAAGCTTAATTCAAGCATGAATATCAATGTTATTGATACTTTATAAACTACTTTCACATATTATACTGATATTCAGAGGTAAGGTGTGTCAACAACATGTGCATTGCTGTGAAACAGCCAAATGGTGACTAATTTTTTATATATGAAAGCTTGAAATTCTTTCTTCACACAAGCAAAAAAGAGAGGAAAATTATTCTTGATTATTCAGAAAGAAAATGAAAGATAAGGCTAAGTATATCATAAAAGTAACACTTAACAGCTTGGCCAAAAGTGACAGTCCAATTGGTAGTTAGTTCCTACAACTTTTACCAGAACTTAAGGATAAAAACTTTTGAATGCCACATAATGAGCCAAGAGGCTAGGAGATAATGTTTCATAACCTCAATGCAAACAGGTCAACTCAAGAATAGTAAACATAACAGCAGCAGATTGCATAACATTAACAATAAAACGAGATGCTTCATCTTCCCCAAGTAATAATGAGAAAATTTCTAAGCGTGTTTCTTCACTCCTGCTCTTTTTGCCCAACTATTTTGGCTTAAAATATTGCCATAAGCTCAAAACTCAGCAGCCAAACCATAATAGCATGACCATCAAGGCATATATTGGTGGACGGATAGAGCTTCGTGTCAGGACATTTGAAAAGCACTCTGTATAGTATAACAGAAAGTTCTTAATCTTGAAATTCGGTTTACCCTCCTCTTAGATCATCATTTCAGGCTCCAATAATGCCTAAATGAAGATGACACAAACAGAAAATAGTTGTACCTCTCAAGAATTGATAGGATCCTTAACAAGCTGGAGCTTTCCATCAATCCATATAGAATATCGAACATTGGGGAAATCCGGTGCAAAAGAAGCTTCGGAACCTGAAACTGTACACCCAGGTCAACGACATCCACAAACTTGAGAAACTAAGCACCACTTAACACAATAACAAAATCCACATCACCTAACAGCAATAGAGTCTGGTTCTAACGTGCATAAAAATGATTCTCCAGTACTAACACATTGTTTAGTCATAATACATAAATATATTTTTAACCAGATTATCCTTCAAACAAGGCATACTTGTACAAATAATTATATCGGGATGTATCTCCAAATGATCTAATACTTGACCCCAACCCATCAAAGCCATCTTTATCCCCAAGCATTTGCGCATTGAACTCACGGAAACTAATACAAGAACATCTCACAAAGTAAAGGTTGGTCCATTAGTCATCTGCCAAATGATATAATGTCTGTTATTGAACGTTTACTCAAATCTTTCATATTATCTATGCAGATATTTTTAATATCAAAACAGTTAAAATTACAAATAATCAGGATATCAGACATCTAATATGAGGGTAAAAGGAATAAAAGCAAAATTGCAAGCAATTTAACCACATTTCTAAGAGTCAAAATGGAATAATCAAAACTGACCTTTCCCTTCGTCTTGCATCACTATAAGGGATGTTGTGGACAACAACAATTCTCCACAACCCAACTCTCTTACTGGTCTAGAAGCTAGAATTCTTCATATAAGCCTCTGTTTCTCATCTAAACATATAGAAAGGGATTTTTTTCCTCACTGCTTCACTAATGTTCTGGGGCTGCTGCAATAAATCAAGTTCCCCGCCAAAGATATCATGACAGGAAAAGAAGAAGGTAGAATTGAAAACTTCTCTATATGATTTAATTTTGCTCAGCATTATCAAATATAGCCGAACCAACAATGACCTCATGACTGCTCTGCGAGGTCAGCTTCATCAAATTCAAATCCAGTTCGACTCCAGGTCTACTCTATGACAAATCTAATTGAAATGAAAATATATATGAACCACAAATGCCAAGAGAAAAAAAAAATTAGAATCAGTTAACTGAAGGAAAATGTTATATCAGTTAAAGGCATCATATCCAAAATAACAATAATAATTAATTATTAAATTATAATCTAAACAGTTACAAGGGTTCATATTACAACCAACAAAAGTTAAACCAACCCACAGTGCACTGCCGTGGACTCTTTTATGTCAAAAGAATCAACTCTCTGTTTAAAGAAGATATCCACCAAAGTCATGAACATCTATATTACCTACAGGATCTCCGGCCCCTGAGTTGCCATATGAACCAACCTTCCAGTATATCGAAATGGCAAGTATGAAATGATTCTTCCTCTAATAGTGGAAGATAGGTGATACATTAGATAGAATTTACCAGTACTTCTCAGTGGCATAAACAACAACTCCACAGTTCTTTCTCTCAAAAAATCCTTTCATAATAATAATGTATTAACTGAAAAGAAAAGTTGTCATCCACCACTATTTAAAAACCACCATTTTCAACACTCTCAGCAAACCGTGTCAGTATTTGACCGCAATCTGTTTCTCCCATTTAACTTAATTTACAATCTTTCCTTTCTTTTCAATTTTATTTGCTTGTTATTATTCTTCCCAGGAGTAAAACTATGTCCAGCATTCCAATTTGATAATTATAGAATCTTCTACTCTTACTAAATCGGATAACCATGACAAGACTAATGATAAGTAAGTAAACCCAAAACCAGTGTTAAATAAGAAACATAAGTACAACTTTGTAAAGACACTTTTTCACAGAGATGGTGCTAAAAACATGCAAGTCAAATTTATAACTTCAGAAAATGTACTACTTAAATACTCTGTTGAAAAACAAATTAAAAAAGTTAAAAACAGATCATACGCCATTTCAATGCTTACAGCAACATCCATCAAGAGAAGAAGAAAAAAGGGGAAATGTTTATTATTTTCGGATTGACATGGACAAACAGCATAGAGATTTGTATAACATGATTTAATCATTTATTCCCGTGTGTTCATCAGCTTTATTCTTCCAGTTTGTCCAATTAAACAATGAGAACTGATACAAGAAGCTCTAAGCTGTATTCAGAGCTGAATAAGTTCAGGCCAAAGGCCACCACATTAACAACACAATAAAAGAAAAACATGTGTACGAAAAAATCACATATAAAAAGCTACAGTTAGTTTGCCTCAGGTTTTTGCTCAAACCCAATGCCTAGTTCTGGAAGATCAACTTTCCCTTGATATATATCAAATAGTTGGAACTGTTCCTGATACTTGGACAAAAATTTGTCTATGAAGTGCTTTTCAGTGGCTTCACACAGAAGACATACTAAATTATTCTTAATCAAGTCGTTAAACAACAAAACCCTAAAACTCTGCATCTGGGGATGATTGTCTTCTCCAAACTACAACATAAAGCCCTAGGTGTCTAGCAACCGCTGAAGGTTGCCAACCCATCTTGTTCACAAAAAGTCCATTTTGGTATTTATGTCTCCACAGACCGATGTCATACATCTGGATGGCTTCTAAAAGCTAACCAGAATTCATTTTCAGACCACCCCAACTCCTATAAACCTTCCGTTTTTGTTCCCAGGAATTTTCGGTCATGCCCGCAACGTTATGAGTGCGTCCATAAATGCAATGGTTGAGGATTGAATCCCATCTCGTGACCTTCTTGACATGTTCATCAAACTTCTCAAAACTTACACACATACACAAGGACTTAAGGTGACCAAAGTTGAAATCCTGATTGTGTCACTCCAATTCCTTTCAAGGTAGAGATTTTGGGAACAACAGTCTTCTGCACATCATGCAAACGAACGTCCGCTTCCAGACATTGACAATTTTTTCATTGTTGAAACCAAACTCTTGAGAAATTATAGTTAGGGATAATTGTTTTCACTAAGCTCTGCTGCAAATAACAGGGTTGAGGATAGTAAATTCGCAAGGTCAGGACCAGAAATCCCACGAATGGAAAAACTCAACCTTGGGTAAAAGAGTTTCCTCAACACCTGCTACAAGCAATGTCGGTAATTTTTTAACTAGTTTGGATATGTGAGCTTTGGAAAACCATTTTTTCTGAAAAGGCCAAGTACAGAATCTGGATTTTCTGGGGTCTCAAAAGCTACTTTCTTTGATAAAGATGCAGCAATTTCTGGGGACAACCCACATGAGTTTATGAAATAAGACACTGTGAATGAATTTTGTTCTGGTTGTTTTTCTCTATCATGTGCCACAACTTCAACCGATGAGAAAGATTTAGAAAAAAGTGATGAATTCTGCGAAAGAAAACTCAAATGGATCGTCGAGTATGCCGCATTTCTCCAATTTGGGACTAGTTGAAATTGCAGCCTTTTGTAGCACAAACGACACATGTCAAAATCAAATACAAATGAAGAAGAAAAAGGAAGAAAAGCCAGAAAGTACTCACGAATTATTTCAAATTTTCAGCTTGAACTGGGGATTTGATTGCAACAGAGATTCTGATAAACTGCTTTTTAGGCTTTTCGCTTTTCAAATTGAGTGAATGACAATTCCCCACCCAAGGTTTTCCGTAAATTTTTATGCCCATGAACTTTGAAAAAACCAATTTCCCACCCATTGTCAATCTCCGTTAATAGATTTACGATTTACCCGACAGGGTAAAGCTACAAAAAGACAATAATACCCTTTTGTATTTGATTTTATAATTTTTAATGAGGTTGAATAACATTTTCCTAACCAAAATTTATTAAATGTATTTTTCACCCCTTGTTTGGTCTATATTAATTCTACGGTTAATAAATTTAAAAATAAAAGCAGTTATTAAAATAATAAAATTATAAAAATTTGAAAAAGAACAAAAACAACCCAATGATTTCGGCAGACTTTTTTTTAGTATTTTTTCAATTTTTCTTACCTTTTTTATTTTCAGATTTTTCCTTATTTTACATAATTTCATAAAATATATACAATTTTAATGAAATGTTGTTTTGTAATTATAGAAATTGAAGGTAGGGATTTAATGGCTAATTTCCAAGTTGGTAAAGGAAATTGTATGTGTTTGCAATTTAGGGGTGTAAGAATATCATTCCCATAATACATATGTTGTGCAAACCGAAAAAAATCCTTTTGTTGATAAAATTAACGTCTGAGTTTAAGCGATGGGAGGGAAAATGTTTTTTTTCAAAGTTTAGGGGTAAAATAAGGCAAACTTTGGATAGGAAAATGATTCACTCCGTTATTTTTCTAACAGTTCGTAATCAAAGGAACGTGATAACGACTAGGCAAAAAATAAAAGATAAATCAGTTATTTTACATAAATTTTATGTAACTTTTGTTTGATTGTATAACTCAGTTATAAGCGAAACATTATTATTGTAACGATGATAATGTTTTGGATAATTTTGTTATTTTAGAATTGGAATCATGTTGGAAGAGTAAACATGTTCTCCAAGGTTTCACCCCTGCATGTTTTTATAAATTCCATATTTTTATCCTTAAATTAACGAAAATTGTTTAATATAATGGTTAAGGGATAAAATAGTCATTTTATATTGCATTAAATATAAAATGAAAATGAAAATAACAACTAGGCAAAAAATAAAGGATAAACCAGTTATTTTACATAAATTTTATATAATTTTTGTTTGATTGTATAACTCAGTTATAAGCGAAACATTATTATTGCAACGATGATAATGTTTTGAATAATTTTGTTATTTTGGAATTGGAATCATGTTGGAAGAGTACACATGTTCTCCAAGGTTTCACCCCTGCTTGTTTTCATAAATTCCATATTTTTATCCTTAAATTAACGGAAATTGTTTAATATAATGGTTAAAAGATAAAATAGCCATTTTACATTACATTAAATATAAAATGAAAATAACAACTAGGCAAAAAATAAAGGATAAATTAGTTATTTTACATAAATTTTATGTAATTTTTGTTTGATTGTATAACTCAGTTATAAGCGAAACATTATTATTGTAACGATGATAATGTTTTGGATAATTTTGTTATTTTGGAATTGGAACCATGTTGGAAGAGTAAACATGTTCTCCAAGGTTTCACCCTTACCTATTTTCATAAATTCCATATTTTTATCTTTAAATTAACTGAAATTGTTTAATATAATTATTAAAAGATAAAATAATCATTTTATATTGCATTAAATATAAAATGAAAATGAAAATTTCTAAAAAATTATTTTCCACCCCTGGATTTTGGCCGAATCTATCATCCTCCACAACTCACCTCCACCTTCGCAACCGCCGATTTGGCTTGATTCTAGCGTCGTTCATCACCCNAAGTACAGAATCTGGATTTTCTGGGGTCTCAAAAGCTACTTTCTTTGATAAAGAAGCAGCAATTTCTGGGGACAACCCACATGAGTTTATGAAATAAGACACTGTGAATGAATTTTGTTCTGGTTGTTTTTCTCTATCATGTGCCACAACTTCAACCGATGAGAAAGATTTAGAAAAAAGTGATGTATTCTGCGAAAGAAAACTCAAATGGATCGTCGAGTATGCCGCATTTCTCCAATTTGGGACTAGTTGAAATTGCAGTCTTTTGTAGCACAAACGAAACATGTCAAAATCAAATACAAATGAAGAAGAAAAGGGAAGAAAAGCCAGAAAGTACTCACGAATTATTTCAAATTTTCAGCTTGAACTGGGTATTCGATTGCAACAGGGATTCTGATAAACTGCTTTTTAGGGTTTTCACTTTTCAAATTCAGTGAATGACAATTCCCCACCCAAGGTTTTCCCTAAATTTTATGCCCATGAACTTTAAAAAAAAACAATTTCCCACCCATTGTCAATCTCCGTTAATAGATTTACGATTTACCCGACAGGGTAAAGCTACAAAAAGACAATAATACCCTTTTGTATTTAATTTTATAATTTTTAATGAGGTTGAATGACATTTTCCTAACCAAAATTTATTAAATGTATTTTTCACCCCTTGTTTGGTTTATATTAAATCTACGGTTAATAAATTTAAAAATAAAATCAGTTATTAAAATAAGAAAATTATAAAAATTTGAAAAAGAACAAAAACAATTTTCACCCGATGATTCCGGCCAACTTTTTTTTAGTATTTTTTTCAATTTTTCTTACCTGTTTTTTATTTTCGGATTTTTCTTTTTTTATATATATGATTTCATAAAATATATACAATTTTAATGAAATGTTGTTTTGTAATTATAGAAATTGAAGGTAGGGGTTTAATGGCTAATTTCCAAGTTGGTGAAGGACAATGTAATCTGTTGTAATTTAGGGGTGTGAGAATATCATTCCCATAATACATAATGTTGTGCAAACCCAAAAAAAATCCTTTTGTTGATAAAATTAACGTCTGAATTTAAGCGATGGGAGGGAAAATGTTTTTTTCAAAGTTTATGGGTAGAACAAAATAAGGCAAACTTTGGATAAGAAAATGATTCACTCCATTATTTTTCTAATAGTTCTTAATAAAAGTAATGTGATACGACCAGACAAAAAATAGAGAATAGAGTAGTTATTTTACATAAATTTTATGTAATATTTATCTTATTATATAACTCAGTTATAAGCGAAACATTATTGTTGTAACGATAATAATGTTTTGGATAATTTTGTTATTTTGGAATTGAAATCATGTTGGAAGAGTAAACAACATGTTCCCCAAGGTTTAGCGAAATCCAAGGTTCCCACCCCTGGCGTTGGTTTCATAAATTCCATATTTTTATCCTTAAATTAACGAAAATTATTTAATATAATGGTCAAAGGATAAAATAACCATTTTACATTGCATTAAATATAAAATGAAAATGAAAATTTCTAAATAATCATGTTTCCACCCCTGGTTTTTGGCTGAATTTATCACCCTCCACAACTCACCTCCACCTTCGCAACCGCCGATTTGGCTTGATTCTAGCGTCGTTCATCACCCCAGACTCCACCTATAGCTTCCCCACCCTTCACTCACAAAAGCCCCTTTCATCCTCTCCCTTCACCACCCCCCCTCATCACTCGCCAATCGTCGACAACGGCAGCCGCATCGTGTGACTTTTTTTGCCTGTTTCTAATCGTTTTGAGCGACGAAAAACCCAACAATCACCACTGTTTGACTCCTTGGCCTCCCTTCTACAAAACCCCTAACCTTCTTGGCCACGACAGCTCACCGTTTGTCGTCCACCACTCTGCTTAGGGTTTGTTAGTGTTTGTTGGAATTGGATATTGATTGAGGAGTTTTTGATGCAATTGAAGTATTGGGTCTGTTTGGTTGTTTAATTAGAGAGTTTGTGTGATTGTTTTTGGTCAGAGAATCCACCCATTCACCACCATTTGCTCATCTTTTGTCGATGCACATCAGGTGCTCGACGATTGCCCCAACAACCTACCCATCTCCTTGTGATTGTTGGGCGGTGATTTTCGACTTCGCAAAGCTTCATCTTTGCAGCCATTTTCCGATCACCCCACTCATCAGAAATTTACCCAACCACCTCCATTCGACCCCCTATTCTCCCCTCTTCAAAACCCACCCCCACATCAGCTTCCGTCACTCACCATTGTCATTCATCGACCTTTCTTTTGCACCTAGTGGGGTCGGTGGGTGGGCCAAAATCTAGAAAGGGTTTCGTAAATAGCCAAAATCGGGGGGTTACAAATAATTTTCTAATTTATTTTTCAACGGTAGTTTAGTAAAAGCACTATCCATACTATGCCAAAACCCAAAAAATCACAAACGGTGTTAATTTAAAGGTGGGAATCTGAAACTTATGAAACCAAGGGTAATAACTTTGAATTTCGCTAAACCTTGCCAAGGAACATTTCCTTTGCTCCGTGTGGGGAAGACTTCTGTCACCATTGTTATGTCAAAGTCAATAAAGAAGGATTGTGTTATTTAAAAAGAAGAAAAAAAATTGTTGACTTGAGTAAAATTTCAATGTTCATCAATTCCCTAACATTATAAATGTGTTTAATTTAATAAACTGAAAAAATAATTGAAATAATAAACACCTCAAAAATGTAGCTTGGCAGCAGCTTGTGTGACATGAAGTTTTAAGTATTTACAACAGTTAAAAGAAGAAGGGATATGGACATTCTTTAAACAAAAATTTGATCATCCTAAACTTCCCTAATTAATTCTCCTACTCCTTCATGTATAATTAGAAACCGGTTTAAAATCAAAGTTACATCATTTCTTCTTCTTCATTTTTTCTTTTCTGGAGGCAAAAAAATACACTTAAAATGAAATGTTACTGATTTTATTTCCAGCTTCTTTGTTTTTATTTCCAGCTGAAACCTTATGATGTCGCTTGGAACCATATTTCTTATCTTTTTTGCCACGTCTCCTTCTCACCAGGTTGCTTCCAGTGACATTGCCACCAACCGGCAAATGAATTGGTAACTGAGTATTGGCAGCAGGAGGGGCCATTTGCTCCAACACATCTCTGTGGTATGCCTGTCCATAAAAAGATCACACAATGAGCATACACCACAACCATCAAACCAAATAAGGATGTAAAAGAAGCGTTTTTGTTATCATTTGGCACATTCCATAGGTTCAAACCTACTTCAGATGAAAACAGATTACGACTTAACGTAACAACAAATCCCTTCTTTTCATCCTTATCGAGAAAGACATAACCGCCAATATCTGGGTATGCCCAGAATGATTCTTTAAACTTCAAATGTTGTGGTTGTATGGATATCAATATTAAATGACCAGTGTTGTCCAAAGATGTTACATAAGTTTAGCATATAGAGAAAAAGGAAAACAAAATCACTTAAGACGGGATTAAACTGCACAGCAAATTATCAAAGCAAAGTAAGCTTTTCACAGGAAACGAATAAATCACTCTTTGGCCTCAATAGACCACTCGAAATTCAAGTCCCCAGAGAATAAAATATTAGGATGCAAGAGACATGCTAGTTCATCCATCAACAATTAGAAGTTGCCGACACTGCAACCAATTAAAAAGGTGTTTTATTCATTCTAAGCCACTTGAGAAGAGGTGGTATTGACAGAAAACCTGAACAAGCTCTTCAATATAGAAAAATACAATTAATAGAAGACAAATTGTAGACATAAATGTTTAACTACTTTTTATTCTTTAGTTTGCTGGTACTAACTAATTGAATTGGTTGGATTTATTGGGGTTGTACGAGAGATTAGGGATCAAGCTCTACTCACACCAAGACTGAAAGGGGGTTGAAATTAAATTCACACAATCAGAAAAAGAAGTAGAAATAGCAACAAACTGAAAAGAAGTCTATAGTAATTATGGTCATGCATAGAACTGATCTTCCAACTACCACAGTATGCAACACGAAATACATACCTGTTTCACAAAATTGCGCCTTTCACAATCCAGAAACATATTGACACTCCAATCAACTCTTGCCCTTATCTTGTCTCTAACTATGGAAAAGCTTAACTGATCCCTCGAAGTAAAACGATCTACTTCGTTGAACCATAGGCAGGTGAACAGATTTGTGATGGGAATGTGCTCCCTTATTATGGTGCAGCCTTCAGGAACATCTACAGAAATATAATCAGAAATCAGAAATTGCAACTCTGACATGAAAAGATAATATTTACACATAATCATGCACTAACCACTAGTTATAGGAAGCTTGGCCTCGGAGTATGGTGTTAAACCCTCATTCCTGTAAAATTCCATCTGGTAATCAATAGTTGCATTATCATATTTTCCTGCAGCTTTGTTAGCTTCAGCCTCCACAAACACATCAAAGCGTCTGTAGTGTCTTGAGATTGCAAAAGTAGCATTTTGGCGCCACAAAAATCTGAAGAAAAGATAATAGTTTGAAGTAATGACAAACTAAGGTGGTCAAAATAAGTTAACATCAGTGCTCTATCGTGTCCCCACCTTTGTGGACCATAAGCATAATTCAAGCATGAATATCAATGTTATTGATACTTTATAAACTACTTTAACATATTATACTGATATCCAGAGGTCAGGTGTGTCAGGTGTGTCAACAACATGTGCATTGCTGTGAAACTGCCAAATGCTGACTAATTTTTTATATATGAAAGCTTGAAATTCTTTCTTCACACAAGCAAAAAGAGCAGAAATTTATTCTTGATTATTCAGAAAGAAAATGAAAGATAAGGCTAAATATATCATAACAGTAACTCTTAACAGCTTGGCCAAGAGTGACAGTCCAATTGGTATTTAGTTCCTACAATTTTTACCAGAACTTCAGGATAAAAACTTTTAAATGTCACATAAAGAGCCCAAAGGCTAGGAGATAATTGTTTCATAACCTCAATGCAAATAGATCAAATCAAGATTAGCGCACACAAAAGCTGCAGATTGCATAACATCAACAATATGTTGGGAATGGGCCTTTGGTCAAGGGCCTAGGTGGCTGGATAGAACTCATTTTGGAAAACCAACTTGCCAAGGGAGGGTGCCCCACTCCTTATAAACCAATTAACCCTCCCATTCCTTTCCAGTGCAGGATCCTAACATTCCCCCGCGCTTCGAGACTCAATGTCCACGTTGGCCCACTCTAGACAACTTTACTCTAGGTGGCCTAGTCTGGGCAGTTTAGTGATACTGCCTTTCAATAGAAGACTAGAAGCCCTCTTCCATGTCGCCTCTTCCGGAAGGTGCCCAAGACGGGGGTGAGCTCTAATACCAATTGTTGGGAATGGGCCTTAGGTCAAGAGCCTAGGTGGTTGGGTAGAACTCACCTTGGAAAACCAGCTTGCCAAGAGAGGGTGTCTCACTCCTTACAAACCACTTAACCCTCACATTCCTTTCCAATATGGGATCCTAACACAACAAAATGAGACGATTCATCTTCCCCAAGTAACAATGAGAAAGTCTCTATGAGTGTTTCCTCATTCCTATTCTTTTTGCCCAATTGTTTTGGCTTAAAATATTGCCATTAGCTCAAAACTCAGCAGCCAAACCATAATAGCATGACCATCAAGGCATATGTTGGTGGACGGATAGAGCTTTGTGTCATGACAATTTAGAAAAGCACTCTGTATAGTATAACAAAAAGTTCTATAATCTTGAAATTCGTTTACCCTCTTCTTAGATACACCACTTCAAGCTCCAATAATAACTAAAAGAAGGATGACAGAAAACAGAAAATAATTGTACCTCTCAAGAATTTGATATGGATCCTTAACAAGCTGGAGCTTTCCATCAATCCATATAGAATATCGAACATTGGGGAAAATCCTGTGCAAAAGAAGCTTCGGAACCTGAAACATGTACATCCCAGGTCAACGACATCCAGCAAACTTGAGAAACTAAAGCACCACTTAACACAATAAACAAAATCCACATCACCTAACAGCATGTAAGAGTCTGGTTCTAACGTGCATAAAAATGATTTCTCTAGTACTAACACATTGTTTAGTCATAATACATAACATATATTTTTAACCAGATTATCCTTCAAACAAGGCANTATGAGTGTTTCCTCATTCCTATTCTTTTTGCCCAATTGTTTTGGCTTAAAATATTGCCATTAGCTCAAAACTCAGCAGCCAAACCATAATAGCATGACCATCAGGCATATATTGGTGGACGGATAGAGCTTTGTGTCATGACAATTTAGAAAAGCACTCTATATAGTATAACAAAAAGTTCTATAATCTTGAAATTCGTTTACCCTCTTCTTAGATACACCACTTCAAGCTCCAATAATAACTAAAAGAAGGATGACAGAAAACAGAAAATAATTGTACCTCTCAAGAATTTGATATGGATCCTTAACAAGCTGGAGCTTTCCATCAATCCATATAGAATATCGAACATTGGGGAAAATCCTGTGCAAAAGAAGCTTCGGAACCTGAAACATGTACATCCCTGGTCAACAACATCCAGCAAACTTGAGAAACTAAAGCACCACTTAACACAATAAACAAAATCCACATCACCTAACAGCACATAAGAGTCTGGTTCTGACGTGCATAAAAATGATTTCTCCAGTACTAACACATTTTTTAGTCATAATACATAAAATATATTTTTAACCAGATTATCCTTCAAACAAGGCATACTTGTACAAATAATTATAATCGGGATGTATCTCCAAATGATCTAATACTTGACCCAACCCATCAAAGCCATCTTTATCCCCAAGCATTTGCGCATTGAACTCACTGGAAACTAATACAAGAACATCTCACAGATAAGTAAGGGTTGGTCCACTTAGTCATTTGCCAAAATGATATAATGTCATGTTATTGAACAGTTTACTCAAATCTTGTCATATTGTCTCATGCAGATATTTTTAATATCAAAACAGTTAAAATTACAAAATAATATTCAGGATATCAGACATGCTAATATGAGGGTAAAAGGAATAAAAGCAAAATTGCAAGCAATTTAACCACATTTCTTAAGATTCAAAATGGAATAAATCAGAGCAGACCTTTCCGTTTCGTCTTGCATCACTATAAGGGATGCTGTGGACAACAACAATTCTCCACAACCCAACTCTCTTACTGCTGTCTAGAATGCTAGAATTCTTCATATAAGCTTCTGTCTCTTCATCAATAAACATATAGAAAGGGATATTTTTCCTCGCTACTTCACTAATGTTCTGGGGCTGCTGCAGTAAATCATAGTTCCCTGCCAAAGATATCATGATCAGGAAAAGAAGAAGGTAGAAATGAACACTTCTCTATATAAGTTAATTTTGCTCAGCAGTACCAAATATAGCCGAAGCAACAATGACCTCATGGAACTGCTCCAAATCTGCAAGGTCAGCTTCATCAAAATCAAATCCAGTTCGGACTCCAGGTCTACTTCCTTTGACAAATCTAATTGAAATGAAAATATATATGAACCACAAAAATGGCACAAGAAGAAAAATTAGAATCAGTTAACTGAAGGAAAATATTATATTAGTTAAAGGCATCATTCCCAAAATAACAATAATAATTAATTATATAAATTATAATCTAAAACAGTTACAAGAGTATCAAATTAAAAAACCAACAAAAGTTAAACCTACCCACAGTGCAGTGTCATGGACTCTTTTATGTCAAAAGAATCAATTCTCTGTTTTAAAGAAGGATATCCACCAAAGTCAGAACCTCCATGTGGTTCAGTTTTAACTGGATTTTCATCCTGAACATATGTCAATTTCTGGAGCACAGGGGATGATGATTGGGAACTTGGCATACTAGCTATTGCCTGCTCCACAGGGAGGTAACATACAGGACATGCTGCATAAATGGACAAACATGAACAAGATCAAATCATCATCACGGGATATATATCAGACATGCAGATTTGCTATTTCAATTGAAATTATAGCTCTGACTAGGTCCTTGTAAAGTGTCCAAAAACATGCTAAGGTATTAAAGAGTCATCTTTTAATTTCATCGGAATTAAAGGCATGATACAATTCCTTGAATTTTAAAGATGTTATCAAAAACAAGAAGAATGACAACTTAAAACTTACGCCGCGGTCCAGGTCTCCGGAAACCAGGTGGAGGGGGAGGAGGAAATGCTAAATTCTTGCATGGATGATTTGATAGAGGAATAACTGCCTTGATCGAGGAAGGAGGAGGAGGAGGATTCTGGACTCTACTTTCATCACTTCCTCTCACATCATTCTTTGTATAAGTATTTTTATCCTTCGAGTTTTTTTCTACAACATCTACATTACCTGCAGGATCTCCTGCCCCTGAGTTGCCATATGGAACCAACCTTCCAGTACGTTCATCAAAATTCGAACTACTTTCTGGTGCATCAATTGCACAATAAGCAAAACCACAATTTTGAAATTATTACCTCAAAACAATAAAAACAGCAAGCTGATTATGTAATGGCTTGTGAAAAGCATCAATCATCACATTTCTGCATGCTTGGTATTCAGAAAAAAAACTTAAAAAACACTTGTTATTTGATTACATTCTCATTATTAATGCTCTGCAGTCTTAAATAAAACATGATGTCATCTTTAAATCAGGCCACCTCTATAATAAGCAAATGCCGAGTAAATTTATTACAGTCCTTATTGCTAAATTATCAAACCTAACGCTATCTTTCACTCAAGCAGACAGAACATTCTTCAATTTCATAGTAAATGAAAATGTAGCAATATAACAAGAAATACAAACCTTTATTAACTATGAAGGAACCCAATGTAAAGACCAAGAGAGCAAGGACTACAAGCAGCAGCATTGCAACTTTTCTACGGCCTAATAATGAGAAAACAAATGGGAAAAACCTGTCTTTCTCCCTCTCTCTGGAACCTGAAAGTAACATCTTTGAAGGAGGCTTTCTTCCAGATATTGCTGATATCGATTTCGTTTGATGAGATGAAACTGAACCAACACCGTTGCTGAGTAACTGCAATGACCCATTACTCCCCGTGCGTATCCCCAATGACCCTCCAGTCATTGTATCTCAATTAGTTCACCTCTCATCTCCTTCTCTTTAAATTCCTCAGTCACAACTTCCCTCAAACAAAAATTTTGCTGATCAAATTCCTACGCTTTACCCAATTCCCAATTCCTGAAACTTCTCTAAATTCCCCAAATTGACTCCACTGATCAAAAACCCAACAAAAATAGCAATGACCCAATTCTTGAAATTAAAAACCCAATCACTGAAACTTCACTAGATTCCAAAAGTACGATCTAAATTGCACTCTGGGTTTGCCGCTAAATCAATCTCACTAAACTTGATTTCAAAAACCAATGTGATCCCATATCTGACGACGCATTGTTCTGGCAACAAAAAATAAATTAATTAATTAAAAAATAAATTAATTAATCACCTGCGTTAATTCCCAATAAATTACAATTAACTTCTAATCCAAACTCCAAAACAGAATTAAAAAAATAAAATAAAATAAAAATACACACCTTTAAAGAATTTCATGAAGTGGGTTGTGTTTCCCGATGTCAAAACTGGAAGTTTAATTGGTGGAAATACATTTTTTTTTTTAAAAAAAAAGTGTTTATAGGAATTTGAGAATTGATGAATTTCTTGTTGTTCAGGTTCAGGGGAACGTGACAACTGACAAGTAGTTTAAGCATTAATATGTGTTTGTTTCATTAATTTCGACAAAACAAAAACAAAAGCCTTGAGACTGTGTCCACTGTAACTGTTCCTATTTTATCATCTTGAGACAACCTTATTTAAATTCAAAAAATATCCGTAAATTATGATCCAACCATTTAAAAGATTACTATATGTATAATTAAACAACATTATTTTTGCAACTAAAAAATTATCTTGGTTTTGTTTAACTATAAATCTCTCTGAATTTATTGGTATCCTTATCCAAATCAAGGGCTATCATTTTCCCTACATTTATTTAATGAATTTGAAAGCAAGTGATTGAAGTTGGGTTTTTAGAGTATGGTTTAGTGGAGTTATTTTATTATGATTTTGAAGGAGAATTTGTGTTAATTTGGTGGGTTGTCACTTTGTTATCATGGTGAATAATTAAAAAAATATCTATCAGTTTGGTAATAAAACGACATTTATCCACCTATGGTTTGGCGAAATCCTAGGTTCTTACCCCTAATTTCATAAATTACAAATTCTCACTTTTAAATTAATAGAAAATCATTTAATGTAATGGTCATAGGATAAAGTGGTCATTTTCACTGCATTAAATCTAAAATGAAAATAAAAATTTAAAAATAACCCTCCATATCTCAAATTTCTCTCAATCCGCCCTTGAAACCAAGGTCGGGTGGCGGACGCATGCATGGGGCACTGTAACATCGTTGTACAGTATTTGGCACATTTTAGCCAGGAGCGGTGCACGTTAGCAAACTTCATCGTGGGCGTTTTTAGCCTTTTTCCAACTACCTTTCCACCTAAAACAATCCTCTTTCTCTTCCTTGCTTCCTCCTCACCTTTCCCCACCCTCCTCCCACAATAGAGCACCCTCTATTTGTTAGAAAACAACGATTGTTCGACTTCGCAAACCTCCATCTTTGCAGCCATTTTGCGATCGCCTCATTCATTGGAAATTTACCTACCACCTCCATTCGACCCTTCTTTCTCTCCTCTTTAAAACCCACCCCCACATCAGCTTCCCTCACTCATCATTTGTCGTCTACCGGCCTTTCTTTTGCGACCAATGCAGGCGATGGGTGGGCGAGGCTTGCACGCGCTTGCATAGGGCAGTTGCGCATGCAATGGGTGGGTGGGTAGGGCTTTTCATCTAGCCCTTGGGGTGTGTCTGGGTGAGAAAGTTGCAGGAATCGGTTGGGTATGGCAAAAATTCCAAAAATTTACACCAACAAATCACAATCAATCCAAATTCCTCAAAAACTATACACAATCAATTATCAATATTCTCACAAATCTCCAACATCTACCAATCAAAGCAACTCCACAATCAAACAAACCAAACTTCTTCAAACTTGCGGTGGGGACAGCGGCAAAGGTGGGGGTTGAAATGGTGAAGGATGTCGGGTGGTGGTTGAGGGGGAGTTAGGCTTGCGTGTGGGTGATGGTGAAGAATGTTGAGGGATGGTGGTTGAATTCGCAAGGAGGAGGGTGAGGTTTTGGTGGTGGATGGACAAGGGTGCCATGGGTGGTGTTTGAGAAGGTCATTGGCTTCGAAAAACGGCCAAATCGGCCTAAAAAGGAAGTCGTGTGGGATGGAAAGGGTTTTAGAAATGGCCAAAATTATGTGGGGTTAAAGGGTAATTTTTTAATTTATTTTTATGAAACCTGGGGTGGAAACCTTGGATTTGGCTAAACCTTGGGTGGAAATATGCCTGTTTGATCTTTATTAAATTTTTCTAGGATTAACTACAAAGGATATGAAGGGTTTTTAAGTTATTCAAGTGGGCGTTTGATTTATAATCAAAATTAATAATAATGGGCCAGAGCTTGCATGGATTTCCAAATCTGAGAGTTGGGCCTGAAGCAATACTTATGGCCCATTTTGTTTTCCCTCTAGATTTTAATACTCAAAAGTTCCAACCAGAATGTCAAAAATCAAATAATCAAAATTTATATAATAATAATAATAATTCAATGTTTATAAATTGATCCAAATATTAAGTAAAGAGATGTTGGAAATCTAGTTCATAATCATTGTTGCTTTCTACTTGGTAAAAGGTGAAAACAAATTATAATGATTTAATAATTGAGTATTTTGGTGAAAAGATTGAATGAGTGATTAATTTTGTGGGTCATTTAAAAGGTGGTCCATTATGTTACCTCATCTACTATGCTTCATAAAGTACAGTCATAAAACCAACGGGTCCATTCAATATTCATTCAATTAATTCCCCAATTTTAACATAAAATATTAATTTTTTATTAAAATTAATAAAAAAAAAAAGTACACAAAATTATCTTACATATTTGTGTTTGAGTTTTACACAAGCATCCTTCACCGAAAACATCTATACTTAATTAAGAGGATTCAAGCCTTATAAACCAAGTTTCAAACTCATTCACTAACGATGTGAAATGTAATATATATTATAATAGGTAAAAATAATTCAACGATATGAAAATATAGTAGTGTTACAAGTAGTTAACATTGCATGTACGAGAATTCTGGGATAAATAAAAAGATAATTCATATTTATTATTCCATATATATTTTTAATACAAGTAAAACCCCTTTGTAGTCATAATGGTAGAATGAACTAATTTTATTACTATGAGGAGGTTATAATCTAATGGAGGTGTAGTTACAACTTACAAAAATTATTGTTTTGATTTTTTATCTTATGATTCATGTTTTGGTATTACAATATTAGGATTTCAATTTATGTTTTAATAATATTAGAATTTCAATTCAGTGCTTCAATTGTCTACTTTTGAAACTGATAAAATATCGTGTTTTAGAACTAGCAAAAACAAGTGTTATTGATTGAACTGTAAATGCGGTTGATGCATGGTCAATTGATGTAAAACCATAAACAATTGTAAATGGTTTTAAGCACTGCAAAATTAGGACCTCCGATGTCGATGAATTGCAAGTTACAAATGAAGTGAATGAAGAGAATAAAAGAATCATTGTAGAATTAAGTGATCAGATTCGACAACTTCATTGCAGTAATTGAAAGGATATTAATGTCTTCCTTGATCATCCAAATGAGCAACAAATCATGTATGTTTTAACTAAAGAAAAAACCATTGCTGCAATTTAATAAGAAGAGAAAATAAATAATATTGAGGATGATAGTATGGAAATACAAAAAAGTTTTGTGCTATGAAGCTCTAAACATACTTAAGAAGCTAAAAATATTTTGGCTTCAACAAAAAGGTGTCCATGCTAGCGAGTTATTATGTACTCATAAATTAAAAGACGTGATAATAACTCTAAAGTATAAATCATTATTTCAAACAACTTTAGATAAATATTTTATTTCATTTTAAACCTTTAATGTAATATAAAATATATATTTTTGTAAGATACAGATAATTATTACTTTGTGAATGTGACTTTCCTTAAGGTAGGAATTAAAAAAATTATGATTTATTACAATGTGAAGTTTATTTTTATTTATAACTATCCCAAATTGGAACTAGAATTTTTGATGACTATATAGAGTTTTTTCCTATATAGAGTATCATTATAGAGAGGTTTTACTGTAATATCTCCCTCATTATTATTTCATTAATCTTGTTACCCAAAAAGAGGTTCAAGTCCTTTTAATTAATTCAATAAATAGATTGCCAAAATGAAGTTGGAAATATGATAATGGAGTAGGCAAGGCAACCAAAGAAAATACCTGTGATCATGAGAAGCTACAAGTGTGTTGAACCACAAGGAGACAAGGCCCATGTATGTGCCTAAAGGTTGGCCTATTTGGGCCCATTAACTTGTCTCTTTGTCACATACAGTGAAGACACCACCATAAATTTCATGTTTGCATTATCATACGGATAAAGTCTTCATTATTTAGTAGAGATATGGACAGCTATTGTCCGATTAGTAGTCTTTGTAAATGACAAACCCCTTTGCTTTTTCATATCTATGTCTCATCTCACTCATATATATATATATATATATATATATATATAAAAGTGGGGTATCTGAACCAGCTAATATACACTTAAACTAATCCCTTGAGATCTTATAACTACAGACCGAGTAAAAGCTCCAGTGACTACTCTTATTAGCAATCGAGAAGGAACTCAAACTCAGGACCTCTTGAGTAATACACCCAAGAGTTTCTATCGAATCACTCGACCACTCAGAGGTAGTTTTTCTAATCCTTCGGGACCCTGGAACAACCAGTTGAGTAAGAGATCTAATGGTTACCCCTATTAGCAATCAAGGAAGGACTCGAACTCGATACATCTTGAGTAATACGCCCAAGAGTCTCTATCGAATCACTCGACCACCCAAAGACAGTTGTCTCATCTCACTTTCTTTTTCATATTTTTTAGGATAATAACAATTTCGTCCCCGAGGTATGGTTTAAGTTACACTTCAGTCTTGTGAAGTTTTTAGTTAAAAAAATTCTACAAAACTAAAGTATTGCTTAAGTTCAAAATACCTCAACACCCATTTGATTTATGGAAATAGGATAATGTATTTATAAAACAAGTTTGACCATATGAAGTATGAAGATCTTGGAGATTAATTAATAATGTTTTGGTCATCTAATGATTTTATTGAGAATATGTCAGAAAGATAGCTTTCTATCAATGTCATTTTGTTCTTAATTAAATCGTATGAATTTTAAATAGAAGAGTCTAGTCATAAAATCATAATGAGTGATTAATTTTGTGGGTCATTTAAAAGGTGGTCCATTATGTTACCTCATCTACTATGCTTCATAAAGTACACTCATAAAACCAAGGGGTCCATTCAATATTCATTCAATTAATTCCCCAATTTTAACATAAAATATTAATTTTTTATTAAAATTAATAAATAAAAAAGTACACAAAATTATCTTACATATTTGTGTTTGAGTTTTACACAAGCATCCTTCACCGAAAACATCTATACTTAATTAAGAGGATTCAAGCCTTATAAACCGAATTTAGTGATGTGAAATGTAATATTTATTATAATAGGTAAAAATAATTCAATGATACAAAATATAGTAATGTTACACGTAGTTAACATTGCATGTACGCGAATTCTGAGATAAATAAAAAGATAATTCATATTCATTATTTCGTATATATTTTTAATACAAGTAAAACCTCTTTATAGTCATAATGATGGGATGAACTAATTTTATTACTATAAAGAGGTTATAACTTAATGAAGGTATAATTACAAAAATTATTGTTTTGATTTCTTATTTTATGATTCATGTTTTAGTATTACAATATTAGGATTTCAATTCATGTTTTAGTAATATTAGGATTTCAATTCAGTGCTTCAATTGTCTACTTTTGAAACTGATAGAATATCGTGTCTTAGAACTAGCAAAAATAAGTGTCATTGATGGAACTGTAAATGCAGTTGATGCATGGTCAGTTGATGTAAAACCATAAACAATTATAAATGGTTTTAAACACTGCAAAATTAGGACCTTCGATGTTGATGAATTGCAAGTTACAAATGAAGCGAATGAGGAGAATAAAAGAATCATTGCAGAATTAAGTAATCAGATTCGACAACTTCATTGTACTAATCGAATAGATATTAATGTATTTCTTGATCATAAAAATGAGCAACAAATCATATATGTTTTAATTAAAGAATAAATCATTGCTGCAATTTAATAAGAAGAGAAAATAAATAATCTTAAGGATGATAATATGAAAATACAAAAAGTTTCATACTATGAAGCTCTAAACATGTTTGAGAAGCTAAAAATATTTTGGCTTCATCAAGAAGGTGTCTATGCTAGCGAGTTATTACATACTCACAAATTAAAAGATATGGAAACAATTCTAAAGCATAAATCATTATCTCAAACAACTTTAGATAAATATTTTGTTTCATTTTAAACCTTTAATGTAACATAAAATATATATTTTTATAATATACAGATAATTATTACTATGTGAATGCGACTTTCCTTAAGGTGGGAATTAAAAAAATTATAACTTATTACAATGTGGAGTTTATTTTTATTTATAACTATCTCAAATTGGAATTAGAAATTTTTTATAACTATGTAGAGTTTATTCATATATAAAGTATCACTATATAGAGGTTTTGCTGTAATATCTCCCTCATTATTATTTCATTAATCTTGTTACCCAAAAAGAGGTTTAAGTCCTTTTAATTAATTCAATAAATAGATTGCCAAAATGAAGTTGGAAACATGATAATGGAGTAGGCAAGGCAACCAAAGAAAAAACCTGTGATCATGAGAAGCTACAAATGTGTTGAACCAGAAGGAGACAAGGCCCATGTATGTGCCTAAAGGTGGGCCTATTTGGGTCCATTAACTTGTCTCTTTGTCACATAGAGTGAAGACACCACCATAAATTTCATGTTTGCATGATCATACGGATAAAGTCTTCATTATTTAGTAGAGATATGGACAACTATTGTCTGGTTAGTAGTCTTTGTAAATGACAAACCGCCTTTGCATTTTCATATCTATGTCTCATCTATGAGTGAGGTTATCTGAACCTAAATTAATCCCTTGAGACTTTATAACTATCAGCCAGATAAAAGCTCTAGTGACTACCTTTATTAGCAATCGAGAAAGAACTCAAACTCAGGACCTCTTGAGTAATACACCCAAGAGTTTCTATCGAATCACTCGACTATTCAGAGGTAGTTTTTCTATTCCTTCGGGACCCTAGAACTACCAGTTGGGTAAGAGATCCAATAATTACCCCTATTAGCAATCAAAGAGGGACTCGAACTCAATACCTCTTGAGTAATACACCCAAGACTCTATCGAATCACTTGACCACCTAAAGATAGTTGTCTCATCTCACTTTCTTTTTCATATTTTCATGATAATAACAATTTCGTCCTCGAGGTATGGTTTAAGTTACACTTAACTCTTGTGAAGTTTTTAGTTTAAAAAATTCTACAAAACTAAAGTATTGCTTAAGTTCAAAATACCTCAACGCCCATTTGATTTATGGAAATAGGATAATGTATTTATAAAACAAGTTTGACTATATGAAGTATGAAGATCTTGGAGATTAATTAATAATGTTTTGGTCATCTAATGATTTTATTGTGAATATGTCAGAAACATAGCTTTCTATCAATGTCATTTTTTTCTTAATTAAATTGTATGAATTTTAAATACAAGAGTCTAGTCATAAAATCATCTAGACTTCTACTAATACTCAATGGAAGACAATGACTTTATAGTAGGCATTGACATTGCTACCTAAATTGGTAGTCAATTCTTGACTTCTTTATTGTATATTATTTATAATGTTATTGTCATAGTAGAAATTTTAAGTGTTATTATTATATTATTAGGGTTGATATTTTATTAGTGTTTTTATTCTTATAAAGTCAAAGGGTTTTAAGAAAATTATAAAGAGTATTTAATAGTTTTAGAAACAAATCTTCGAGACTAGTACCTTCCTCGAGGGCAATGAAATTAACATTTTAACCATCACGGGTGGTCTGATCGTAAAAGGGTAAAAAAAAGTTTTATGAGTTCGAATATTCCCTAACACTAATAGAGATAATCACTAGGACTCTTACTCGACTGACAGTTCTAGGGCTCTAAGAGATTGGTTGAGGTGGTGCAAGCTGGCCGAACATCTCTCATGACTAAAACAAGAAAAAAAAAAAAAAGATTTAACGATAAATATATGAAATAAAAGTGGTTAAGAGTAGTTAACCTGACCAAGAATCATCCTTATTTAATTATGTGAAAATGATATCCCAGTTGTCTACTATCATTACTAGTGCTGTTAGTTATCACTAAATTAACACGTACAATCATAATTTAACCTAATTAATAACAAATTACTAATGTAACCCAATATTTTTATAGGCTTTTTTTTTTATAGTTATCAAATTTTTTTTTCTTTTAACGGTGTTAAAAACTCTAAAAAAAAAAAAAATTTATTGGTTGTCTACTTGTCTTGTCGAGAATCACCAAAATAAAATAAAAAAATAAAAGTAAAAGAACCAACTCGTGACTCAGAAAAAAAAGATGTCATTTTTATTAATTAATTATTATAAAATTATATTAATTAAAGAATAAGTAAGTAGGACATAATCAGAAGCTTAAAGTTAATCACAGATTAAATATATAATTAAGTCGAGTGGGGCCAGTTAAAAGGTACAAAATGGTAGTGGTTTTAGACTTTTAGTGTAATTGAGTTGGAAGGGTAAAATGGGAATTTCGTCTACTTAACACAAAATTTAATTTTATTAATTAATTAATAAAATTGATAAAGTGAAGGAAAAGCCAACGACCCAACTTTTTCTTGGGAAGTTACTAGTTAGAGTAATAGATTGAACTTTTAGTGAAACTTTTCACACTCTTTATAATGCGCGTGATGTCACGCGCACATAAAGCCAAAATGGAGAAAAAAGATAGTACTTTTATGGCTTTGCTTGTTACAAAGGTTAAGAATATAATATAAAAAAGGAAAATGAAATTATTTTTAAAATAAACAAATAAAAAAAGACAAGGTTAAAGTGAAAAATTAAGAAATATTTGCTATTTAAAAATGCATACTTAATTAATACAAAATGAATCATTAAAAAATATTAAAGACTATCTATATAATTCATAATATTATTTTAATTTTTCTATATAACTAGGTTTAAATAAATTGTTAATTATTTCAAGAGAAAATATTATTAAACTATATCATGTAAAACCATTATTAACACAATTTCTTTTCTTAAGTGGAGGAATAATCTTGTCATTTTTTTTTTTATAATTAATTAATTAAATATTTTCTTATCAATAATTGATGATTTATTATGAGTTGACTTTTTTTTTGTTTGAATAGTAAGACTAATAATTGAGAGAGTGTAACAACATTCTTCTTCAGAGCGCGTGGGATTTTCAACACAAAAAATATAAGAATGTCTTCTTACTGAAAGCTGCGCCTTCGCGCACTTAAAATAAGCGCCGTGACAAAATTAGTTTTTTAATTAAATAAATAAAAATTATATTATTCTTATAAATAATTAATTATTAAATACTTCCACCCACAGAAATAAAAATAAAAAGAAAAACAAATAATTTTTTCATCTTCTGTGAAAATAACTACACTCTTTACTATACTTGTGCCTGAGCCTTTCCTTCTTTCCAAATCAAAAATCTCTGTGTGCCCTAGATCTGCAAACCCTAGATCACTCCCTTTCTGTTTTTTTCTTTTTTTGTTTTTAAGTTACACACCTTCAATGTTTCAGTCTTTTTGCAAATTCTTTGCTCGTGGCAGTGTGTTAGTTGCGGAGGAATAAACAATTATGGCTTAAGGTACGAAGATTTTGGTTCCTTTTTTTTTTTTTTTAATCGGGTAGGTGAGTTTTTAGGTTTTTGTTCTGGTAGTGTTGAAGTGTTTTGAGTTTATTTAGTTGTGAATTTATTGGATATTGATATTGAAGTTGTTTTTTTATTGCTTTAGGACTGTTGTTTTTGAGGTATTGTGCATGATTTTGGAGGTTTTTAGCATTTTGGTGTGAGAATCTGGGGTTCTTTGTAATTGCAATTTTTTTGCTTTATTGAGTGGAAAAGAGTATATTGATGGTGCAATAATTGTGTTTGCGTTAATCTTGATTTTTAGAGGGGTTTCTACCTTGAATGTCCTTGATTTAGTTGCGGAAAAGTTATTCTTTATAGAACTTGGTGTAGAAGAAGAGGAAAGTAGTACAGTGGAAATGCTATAGTTGTGGGGTAACTGTTGATTTTGAAGGACGGTTTTGGGTGGTGTTGGTGTATGATGGGTTGCATTTGTTGTAAACCCTCTGCTATTGAAGATAGTAAAGAGAGTCCAAGAGAGCGCCTGTCGAGCAAGGCCTCATCTGACTTAAGAGTATCAAGGGCAACTTCCTCAAGGAGAGAGGACGCATATCGGGTGAAAGATCGATATGATAGTAATGATGGGAGAACAATGTTGATTGATAAGCAGGTGAATGGGTCTGTTCGGTTGCATGGTGAGAATTTCGATCGGAAGAGGGAGAAAATGGAATATGTTGTTGCTCAACATCATCCAGGGATGGGTAATATTCCTAAAGCTACAGAAGGTGAGCAGGTGGCAGCAGGGTGGCCGGCCTGGTTGGCCACAGTGGCTGGAGAGGCGATCAGGGGATGGGTTCCACGACGTGCAGATTCTTTTGAGAAGCTGGACAAAGTAAGCTTCTTCTTCTTTGATTCATTAATAGATTATATGAATCAATGGGATACTTATTTTGTGATTTAGATTATCATTTTTTAATTTTCTTTATTGATAAATTTATAAGTACATGTGTCTGTCTTATTGATCGAGTGCTTGACTTTTAGTTTGTATTTATGCTGCTCTGTAAGTTGAATTTCATGTATTCCTTGTGAAATGGTGATAGAATTAAAATGCTAGCTATCTCTTAACCCATGATTTGCTTGGGGCCATATTTGGCACCTTTGTGGTTTAAAAGTTGGTACGGACAATTGCATTAGATTGATAATTTTTAACTTTTTGTTGTACTGAATTCCAAATGGTACAGAAGAATGTTGAAAGAGAATTATCTTCAACCTCAAGTAATTGACTTATGATATCTTTTAACAATGTTTCTAACTTAGAAACATTTTATGACTGCAGCTTTGTTTTCGTCTATCCTTTTCTTTTCTGTTTTTTTTTTTTGTTTCTAATTTATTTTATGCAATGCTATTTAAGATATAACTAGAAAATCTGTCATGTCCTCTCATCGCATTAGCCAAGGCCCAGGTAGAGTCTTGTTTGAATGTTATGGTTTTTGAGCAGCCTTACTCTTGTAAAATTGTCTTAGTAACATAAAACTGTATGATTCTATTTTACAAGTAGTTATTTAATCTACTTTATGTTGATATTGCTTGGGGTTTGTTTTCATACATAGTCTGATGACGTGTATTAATGCAGATTGGCCAGGGCACTTACAGTAACGTTTATAGAGCTCGTGATCTTGATCAGAAGAAAATTGTTGCCCTGAAGAAAGTAAGGTTTGATAACTTGGAGCCTGAGAGTGTTCGCTTTATGGCAAGGGAAATTCATATTCTCCGTAGGCTTGATCACATGAATGTAATAAAGCTGGAAGGCCTGGTTACGTCAAGGATGTCTTGCAGCTTGTACCTTGTTTTTGAGTACATGGAACATGATCTGGCCGGTCTTGCCTCGCATCCTGGTGTGAAATTTTCAGAATCCCAGGTACTTGTGAAAAGGTTTTGTTTTGTTTTCTAGGGCTTCAACTGGGTTATTGGAAGTGACATTCCATGTAATTCGTGATCTTTTTACTTTACACAAATTTAGTATCTTCTTATTTCTTAATACAAATGTTCTTGTTTCTAACCAAAAATAAAAATGATCTTTCTACTTACTGAACTTTCTTTACATTCCTATTACAATATTTTATTGGTTAACGTAGCAGTCATATGGAAGTAGCCTGTGAAATATAGATATACTTAGGTTAGGCGTTGATTTCTTTTTAACCCTTATTTTTATGATTTTCAGGCTATAATTTTTGTTATACTGTTTTTTGGCAGGTTAAATGTTACATGCAGCAACTTCTGCATGGGCTTGATCATTGTCACAGTCGTGGTGTTCTACATCGTGATATAAAGGGTTCCAATCTTTTGATTGACAACAATGGCATCTTGAAAATTGCTGATTTTGGTCTGGCTAGTTTTTATGATCCCCATCAAAATCTGCCGCTGACAAGTCGTGTTGTAACTCTTTGGTACCGGCCACCAGAGCTTTTACTTGGAGCGACTTACTATGGTACTGCTGTAGATCTATGGAGTACAGGTTGCATACTTGCAGAGTTGTATGCTGGCAAGCCTATCATGCCTGGAAGAACTGAGGTATAAATTATGGAGTTTGCTGCCACCAGTCAGAGTTAGATTCTTTGCCACATGTTATTTTATCTGGCGCTTCTATGTTCTCTTTTCATTGTCCTTCTTTTTGCTGCATTACAATCAATTTCATCTTAGGAATAAGGGTCATGATGAGAGTTCCCAATGATATGTTGGACTTCGCCTCTGTTGGAATTTCATGGACGAATGCATTCAAATGCTCTGCAAAAGGGGCTCCTTCATGAAGCTGTTCTATGCACAAGCATGTTTAATATGGTTGAATGATATTTTTTTTTAATCAGTTTCTACCTCTCGAAGGAGCAGTGTCTGGAGTATGAACTCCTAAAATATGTCCATACTTTTGTCCCATAATTGCAGGATTTTGTGAAAGAAGAGATCTAATGCAGAGTTTCTTGTTCTTTTCTATTTTCCTTTTCAATCATTTGTTTGCTTAGTTTGAAGTTATTCTGTTAATTATTCAAAAGTTTGTATCTTTTTGTTTGTTAGGTGGAGCAGTTGCATAAAATTTTTAAGCTTTGTGGTTCCCCTTCAGAGGATTATTGGAGAAAATCAAAGTTGCCGCATGCTACAATCTTTAAGCCCCAACAGCCTTATAAACGTTGTGTGGCTGAAACATTTAAGGATTTCCCTGCACCAGCTTTAGGGCTTATGGAGACCCTTCTTTCAATTGATCCAGCTGATAGAGGATCTGCAGCTTCTGCTCTGAAGAGTGAGGTATGATACAGAATCTTTTAAATGATGGCCATAGTTCTTCAATTGACTGAATGTGTTTAATAACCAAATATTTTTGTTGGAGGATGTTTTTGGATGGGCTTATTGGTTCTCAAGTTCTTTGGATAATGGAGTTTGCATAGCTTGGGAACAAGCAATACCTTGTATTTTATTCCTGTGCAGTTTTTGTTTCTCCTCTCTCCTTAAGTTTATAAATGTACTTGATGCATTATTTTGTAGCTTGAATATGTTTTCATTTGTTTCAATCATAGTGTTCTGTTATTTCGTTCTCTCGGTAATCAATTAATAGTTTTTTTTTTCTACCCTGTGTTCTGATTAGTGTTTGGTTTTTGTTCTCCAGTTCTTCACGGTGAAACCTCTTCCTTGTGATCCTTCCAATTTGCCAAAGTATCCTCCAAGCAAAGAGTTTGACGCAAAAATACGGGATGAGGAAGCTAGAAGGTGCATGTTTTAACAACTATGACATAGTTTATTGTTATCAGTAAACAAATATATTGTCTGTTAGTTTGCCTCATTGGGCATTTTTGCCTTGTGTCAAAATTGATAGTGGTCATTTAAGAGCATGTTTTTCCTTTTCGTTTTGATTGTTCTAGTGAAAATTACATTTAAGTCGATGTGCTCACATTAAATATGTAGTTATCAGTTTAATCGTTGTTTTTCTCTTCTTGTGGGGCTTCAATTTGTTGGACTGTAACTTGATTTCTGGTCTTTGATTAATAAGTTACTCTAAAGTTGATTTGAACTTATGTACTGCTGAAATGCTGACATGTATGGATGCCAGATACTAATAAGATTTGTATTTGTTTGCTCTGTAGACAAGGCGCAGTAGGAAGCAAGGGCCAGAGGCTTGACCTTGAAAGGAAAGGAACAAGAGAGTCCAGAGCTATTCCAGCCCCTAATGCCAATGCTGAATTGGTTTTGTCCATGCAGGTAATCTATTTTCAAAAGGTTCCTCCTGTACGTCATTTTCCTTTTGTAACCTACTGGCAATGCATTTAGTAACTAGTGCATTGTAGTTGTAAATCTATTAGTATGTAAACAATGAAAAAACCCTGCATTTTCTTAATTATGGTTTGGTATGTATTTTATCAATAACTTAATCACATAATTCTGCAGTAAGGTAGATATTAGGTATGAAAGAGATGAATCCCAAAACAAACATAGGATAAGAAATAAATCAAAAATTGTGGTGGCCATTCAACTCTGCTAGGCTTGAGAGGTATAGGAGAGTTTGTGTTGAAATTCTGCTGTTTAATAGGATAGCCATTTAAAACGGTGATGCCACACTGTTTTATTATGAATACTTCTAAATTTCTTCTTCCCCGTTTAGCAACCTAGCAGCTAAGCCTTCTTTTAAGGATTTTATATATATAATTCACCTTTTCAACCTCTCTGTTCCATTGCTTTTGTTGTTTGTTTTCATCTCACTTAGGCTCTAATTTGGATAAATTACACATTAATATGATTGCTTTCTTGTTACAGAAACGACAAAGCCAGTCCAATTCTAAGAGCCGGAGTGAAATGTTTAATCCTCATCCAGAAGAAGTTGCGTCTGGATTCCCTATAGATCCTCCTAGACCATCACAAGCGGTAGAATCCACTGCAGAACCCCAGGGGCATCATCATAAGAGAGCCTCTCATTCAGGGCCGTTGTCTCACCGAGCTGCTTGGGCAAAGGCTGGGAAAAACCCAGATGATGCTCCAAAGATTTCTGCTGGTGCTGACCTGTCATCAATGTCAGGTTTAGTGGCAGCAAGGAGGAGTTTATTGTCTGAAGATCGGAGAGAAAGGTCCAGTTCTTCACAACAGGAAATTCCAAAGCTAATAGCTAGGTTTCCAGGATCTTTCAAAGAAACCTCAGAATCTTTGATACAACAGGACCAGAAGCATCAACCTCAAGGTGTTGCTGTTTGTCATCAAAAGGAAGATGGAAAAATTGGCAACAAAGATCCAATTATGGTTAGTATGGCTGTGCCTTATTTTCCTCTCAATAATCTGTTTTACAGATTTCTTGATTAACATCCTAATGAATAGGATGAATTCTGGTGTTAGGGATTTGACTTTATCCGTGCTATTTTGAGTATCTGACTCTTTTATTGTTTGCTAGCTTGGGTATGGGTCAAAGGGTCCCAAAATCCATTACTCTGGTCCATTGCTAGTTCCTGGTAACATGGATCAGATGCTTAAGGACCATGATCGCCAGATTCAGGAAGCTGTTAGACGAGCACGCATTGACAAGGCAAAGGTCAGAAAAGTTCAAGCTGAAGGGAACCAATTATCAACCAATTCGTTATTTGTTTCCGGGAGCTGTCTCAAGTAAACCCCTGATGGCAAAAAGCATTATCAGGAAGATAACTGCGGAAAAAATTGGCTGGTGATATTCTCTCTCGTCAAATATGATCTCAGCTGTTAATTGGGGCCTTTGTATAGGTGGTGTTTTAGGTAGATGGCCAGTGGCCATTATTAGCTATTGTTAATAGCTTACTGAGAAATCTCTCTCCCATTTATCACATGTATTTTCTTTCCACTCGGCAACTGTAATTTCTAAGATCTTGGCCATTCTTGTAGAGCTTATTATTTAAGCATAATTTATTTTGGAAACATGACTGTCCTTGTCCTATATTCCTATTTTGTGATAAAAGGAAGTAATATGTTGCTCAAAGCTGTCAAGTAGGGTGTTGGTCTCTGTCTCTCGCTTCCTCTTTAAGATTCGTACATCCTTTTGTTTCCTAGTTATATCAAGTTGTCTACTACCCAACTTTGATTTCTATCCATGCAGCCGCCAAGTTGTAAAAAGGGGCACATGGGGTCCTTCGTACTCTTGAAAAATCAAAGTTGGATTGTCCCCTCTAGACTCTAGACATATATCAGTTTTGTTCAGGAAGGAGTTGAAAGATTTTGCTATATATTTGCTGATAGGTACAACTTAGAACTCCAGAGCTAGTTAACAATGCCCCTCTTCAAACTACCATTGCTGCTACTACTGGCCATTTCTTGCTTTCAGTGTGGCAATGCTGTCAGGTTTGCCTACAATAATGGCTTTACTGCTTCAGAAATACGGCTTTGTGGCAGTGCAATGCTAGACTCCTCTGCTATTTCTCTCACCCAATATACCCCTTTCTCCGTCGGAAGAGTTCTCTTCCCCTTTAAGATCTCCACAAAGGTTCCAAACTCAACTCTAGTTCGATCGTTTAAAACATCTTTCACCTTCTCGATCACCCCCTACAAGAATCAACTTCCCGGCCCCTTCATCTTTGTACCTTCCGCAGGCATTGAAGACGCTGCACCAGCTCAGTATCTTGGCTTTTTGAATAAAACCAGCAACGATAATCCCAATACCCATGTCTTTGGTGTTGAATTCGACTTGTTTAGAAATCAAGAATTTCAAGATATCGATGATAACCATGTTGGTATCAACACATGATCTATGTTTTCTCTGACTGCATACAAAGCCGGGTATTGGTTTGAGAACAATGGCAATCAGACCTCCTGGTCTTTCCTTGGATTAAAGCTGAACAATGGTGAGATTTATCGGGCATGGATTGATTATGCAGATAATTACATTAAGGTAACAATGGCTCCTTCAAAGATGAAGAAGCCTCGAACGCCATTGCTTGAGATGGAAATTGACCTCTATGATTTAGCTGACGAAATGTATGTTGGTTTCTGCGCAGCCAATGGGCAACGCATAGAAAATCATAAAATTTTGAGTTGGAGATTCACTTCAAACTCTCACCCTTAATCAACTTCTTAAAAATAAAAAGTGTATGTTGGAATTTTGTGCTTGTTGAAGTGGAATATGTAGCCTGTTGATACCATAACGGAGTACTGAGAATTGCTTCAGATATGAGATATAATTAGGTCAACTCTTGATTTGATACCACAACTGCTTTTATGGAAAAATATTCCCACCCAAAAGTTTTTTTTTTTTTCTCAAAGAAAAGGAAAATAGTTGCAACTTATACAAGTAATTTCTGAAAAGCTTATTACAAAGTGTCTTGTATAAATACAACTATCAAATACCTATGGACTTGAAAGTGTATCTCCTTTGAGCAAAGATTGGCATCCTTTCCATATGTATATATTAATGACAATGTATAGTTAAGATCACCAATCATAATTTTATATTTTGTTCGATAAATATCATATAGAGATTCTTTCAAGAAACTCCTTCGATGTATTTTTACCCTAAAAATGATTGGAAGCAATATTAAGATATACAAATCACTTAGACAAGATTTTACACATTTGGGTGGGTTATTTAAAGGTTTTGTATTCGAATCCCACAAAATGATTACTTATCATATTTGTGACTTATCTAATCTATTAGGCTTAAACACCCGACGTGCATGCAAGCTGATCTCGACAGCCAGGTATCAAAAAAAGAAAAAGAAAAAAGAAGAAGATATACATGGTTGGAGCCATCACCAATAATGGCAGGCTTAAAAGGATTGTACATCCTCTTGTTCTCTTGGTTTTTTGTGCAGCTTAGCCTTGGGCCTCTCCAAGGTTTAGACTGAAGGGGATTTCCCTTCTTAGGTAAATTATTCTCCTTGCTTTGCCTGCTTAATACTTGGCCATAAAAGAGGAAACAAAACACAAGAATAGTGGGTCAACCTGATAAAAACACAACCATGAGCAGGAACAAACTTGTTAAATGACCCCACTTAATAAAAATCATTTTAATTTTGCTCAGGTTTCATTTGTTTTCATCATGTAGTATTTTCTGTTAATGTTTTCATATTTGACCCTAATCACTTACTTTTTTCTAGGGGTGAGCGGATCCGAGTACTCTCTATTTTTCGGGAGAACCGAAACCGCACAGTACAGGTTCTCAAAAAAAGGAATCGGAACTGGAACTGCACAGTACAGGTTCTTCAATTCAAGGAACTTGCACATGTATATTAATTTAATTATAATCTCACTCAATTAGTTTTCCTAAATTTATATTAAATTATTTATCTCCCCTAATAGTAATTCCTGGATTCGTCTATACCCATGAGAGAGATTTTTGATACTTTTATAAGGTTTTTTTTTTTTTTCCTTTCTAATAATCTCCGAGGGTAATAGTTTAATTTAATATTAATCGATCTGACAGTATTCAACAAACAATCTTGTATTATTGTTGGAATAAATACCAAATGAAAATCATAATATTTCCAAAGCAATATTGCTTCCAAAAACAGTAGTGTTTTTTTTGGAATTAAAGAAGAGAGAATTTGATTTCATAAGCTATCCAGAAAATCTGAAAGATAAAGATGTGGACAAGAATGCATAGCACAAATTATTTGTGCACCGTATCAATCAAACCCATTATTGTATTTTCCATTCTTTACAATAAGTCATACTGAATGGTCCCTAGGTGTCCATCCACCAGTCCTTTTTCATAAATAGAAAGAAAAGCACTTCTGACATAAGTGCTTCTTTCTCCTACACCCCCTTCCCCTCATCTATTTTCAAACATTTCTTCATAATTCAATGTATCCATAAGTAGATAATATAAGGGATACCTTTGGTTCAAAGAATTTTGTATTACTGAGAATATTATATTAAGGAGAAGATATATTACCTTGAATATTACTGGAAATTTTATATTAAATGTGTTTTGTTATATTGAAATAAATTGATGGGTATGTTATATAGATTACTGAATTACATTTCTTTTTTGGTATTATTATTATTATTATCTAGATTATTTCTAATTCTCTACATTTGAGAATTTAGCTAAAACACCCACATAATACAAATTTAAAAATTAACAAAAATACTCCAACCATCCAAGCCATTGCCGATCGTCGGCGTCCATGGCTAAATCGGTGCACGGTCGGCCCAACCACTAGTCTTGGGTAATTGTTTTTAAGTTCAAGGGTATTTATGTCTTAAATTTTTTTGTATATAAAGATAAGATAGTCCATGAATATTTTTGTAAATTATTTTCAAAATAAGGGTATTATTGTCCAAAAATTTTAATAATTAAGGATAAAATTGTAACAATATTAAGATTATCCAGTAATATTAAAATACGTAAGAAAATTATGGTATTCAGATTATCACCTATATATATAACCAACATTAATTGTTGTTGGTTTTGAAAGATTATTGAAATGTTATATCACTTAACAACTAAACATTGTAGTGTAAGAAATAAAATATGATATTAACTCCAACTAAACGCCCCTAATAATTACATCGTAGAAGACATTAAAAGGTAACTGAGTGATGTAATCTAATTAATTAATACATAATTAAAGACATATAATATAACGTTTGGATGAGTGATGGAATTTTGATGTCTCAACCACTAACTCAATTTATAGTGTTTGGAGTTTAAATTTTATCAACTTAGTAAGGTCCACCAACCTCCTATTGTTTAATTCACATCATATTTTATACCCCAGACTTATATTAACTTTAATATTAATAATAATAATAATATAATACGAGAAATTAGAATCATAAGAAAGAAGATTACGTCATGGAATTTAAACAGAATAGTTTATAATGGTTTAGTATAATGAAATATCTCAAAATAATATAATCAAAATTGTGAAGGGTGCATTTGTTTTAGTATTTTAGATAATATTTTTTAAAAAGTAAGGGTGCACTTGATTTATTATTCTGATACTTTTTAGAATAATATTTTGAAAAAAGTAAAATTAGGTGGTTATTACGATGTAAGATTTGAAAATTAACAAAAATAAACCTTAGGTTTGTTTATTAACTAAAAACCCTTATAATAAAATATTAAAAATTAACAAAAACACCCCCATCCACCCATTAAATACCGACAGCTGGCCACCACCGTCGAAGGGTGGTCGGAGTTGTTGTATCGGCGTACGACCGGTTAGATCTGGCTGATCGTACTTCGATATGGGCTTTTCCGGCCAAATCCACGGTGAATCTAACTGAAAAGGCAAGATCTACGGCTAGATCTGGCCATTGGCAGCCAGATCTGGCCTCATTTGGTCGTCAATGACGACCATATCTTGGCTGTCATTGATGACTGGCTACGGCTAGATCTTTGGCCATGGATCTAGCCTTTTCTGGCCAGATCCATTGTGGATCTGGCTGAAAATGCTAGATCGGCGCATTACCAACTAGATCTAACTGGTAGTGCACCATTATACCAGATTTTGACTAGTTTCCGGCAGTGGTGGCCGGAATTTGGCAAATGTGGGTTACTGAGGTGTTTTTGTTAGTTTCTAAAAACTTTTTTGGAGGTGTTTAGTTAAATTAACAAATCCAGGGTGTTTAAAAAGCATTGAATACAAATCCAAGGGGTTTAAAAAGAACTGAATAATATAGAATAATATTTTGAGAATAAGGAAATAAGTGTAGTATTTTGGATAGAATATGGAATAGAGTAGTGAAAAATTGTGTACCAATGGGGAAGAGTTGAGTGGTTATTACGAGATAGAATTTAAAAATTAACAAAACACCCCCTTAGGTTTGTTAATTTATTAAACACCTATGTCATAAAACATTAAAAATTAACAAAAACACTCCCACCCACCCATTAAATACCGACAGCTGGCTACCACCGTAGTATCGACGCAAGACCGATTGGATATGGCTGGTCGTGCGTTGATATGACATTTTCTAGCCAGATCTACCGTGGATTTGGCCGGAAAAGGCTAGATCTATGGTTAGATCTAACCATTGACGGACAGATCTGGCCATTGACGGACATATCTGGCCGTGTTTGGGTATCAACGATGGCCAAAGATATGGCCGTCGTTGACGACTAGCTACGACTAGATTTTTTGCGGTAGATTTGACATTTTTCGACTAGATCCACAGTGGATCTGGCCGTAAAAGGCTAGATCGACGCACTACCAGTCAGATCCAGTCGGTAGTGCGCCACTATAACAGATTTCAGCCACCTTCCGACGGTGATGGCCAAAATCTGGCAAATGTGGGTGGGTTGGGAGTGTTTTTATTAATTTCTAAACTTTTTTTTTAGAAGTGTTTAGTTAAATTATCAAACTTAAAGGGTTTAAAAATAATTAAATATAATATAATAGTATTTTCATAATAGAAAAACAAATATGTATTTTAGAAATGATAAGAATAAGATAGGACAAAAATAGGGAAACAAACGCACCAATGAATGTATAATGAAATCAATTATTTAACTTCTAGAAACACCCGATATTTATTATTAGATCGACAAAATTCTCAAATAAATAAGAAAAATATTGAGTAACACAGGTTTAATGGGTGCATTACTATCATGTTTATTTAGTGACATTGTTAGGTCAAATTTGTCGGAAATAAACACAAGATTCTTCAACTGACGTTCATTATTTGATTATCAAAAATATTTTTTTTAATTAATAAATAAGAGGATTTTCTTTAAAAACACATGGGAAGTATATTAAATAGATTGAAATTGTGAAGAAAGATTTGAGTAGGGTTGGTGAATGAGCTCAAAAACATGTGGCCAAGTTCTTAAACGAAACGTTGAGAAAATGGGAGAAATACGTGGCAGTCCCTGAACCTGAAATGTGTTTTATTTTGGTCCAAATGTTAGTTCTGCTCAATAAATGCCGGTGGGCGGTGGCCTATCTTATTACACTATTTCAAAATTTTATTTTTATACCCCAATATCTCATATTTCTATCCCCATAACTTCTTGATTCCTCCGAATTGCCCCCACTTTTACATCTTATTTCTCACATATTCATATATTTATTTTCATATAATCAAATGACAAACGACAAATTTCTTTTTAATTCGACAAAAAAAAATAGCTACTTTTGTAAATACCCTAAATGTTCATTGATACTTTGCCGGAATATATATAGAAAAAAAGTATAATATCTAAATAAAGATAAAGTTGAATGTTCAATGTTCATAACATTATCTAAATAAGGTAATGATGAGAAAGATTACAAATTGAGAAGGGATAAATTTTGATATGGAAAAAGAAGAGACCTTAATTTGCAAATCCTCGCTCCCTTTTCTTTACTGGTTATTCTCTAAATCTGATCTCAACAGCGTCTTTTCAATTCTTAAACAGTTAAACAAGTTTCATCTTCATCTTCCAAAACTAAAGTTCTAATCTTTATTCATGTTTTTGGATGAAGTGAAGACTGAAGCTAAACTGGGAGGTGGGAGCTTTGAATTTTTTAATACCGGGTTCACGATTTTACCACGAACAACGAAAAAGATCTAATTTTGAAGATGATTCCCAGGTGGGTTCTCATCATTTAGTTACAGTAGCTTTGTATTCAATCACTTTACTTCTTTCTCAGTTGTTCAGACTCAGTTTATCTCCATTAAATAAACAAAACTGAATCTTTTTTCAAGATTGTATATGTCGTTAAGAGCCACATCATGGTCATTAGACCATTTAATTGTATGCTAAACCGCATGATAATTATTTAATAACCAGCAGTTTCTCCTTTTGAGTAACAAAGATCCTTTTTTTATTTTTTTTTAACTTGTTAGATGAATATAATATTTCTTTCATTTTTATCTCATGGCCCACTAGTTCTCTTAATTTATGTTTTTCGCCAATACCGATGGAAGTACTTGTGGGTTGTAGTTGTGCCACGTAGCCAAGTGGAATAAAGCGGGAAGATAACGGAGAGAAACTAAAAGAGTGGCCTATGTTTCAAAAAGAAATACTAAATAAGTTGCTGATGTGCATTACTGCATTGGAAGAACTATTTGTTTATTCAACAGACTCTGGGTTTTTTGTGGGTAGTTTTTTGTTTGTTTGTTTGATTTTGTTTCTGAAAAAAAAAAAGAAGTCAGGAATTTAATGAGGCTGTGAAGCTTTTGTTGTTTACTGTGTAAACTAAAGGTCTTTTTGGCTGTGTGGTTCTGTTATCAGGTTACCTTAGCAAGATCACAATAATGATCCCTTCCAGGCTTTACTGGTGCGTATCTCTCTCTTTTTATAGCATGTGTATTCTTATTATTATTATATTATCATATACTGAATGGTTTTTGTAATTTTGTTGGTGCTGTTGCACTAGTGCTTTTTGATGTTTGGTGTTGTGAATTGCATCCAAGTGTTCTAGGTTATGTTAAGACATGGTTTGTTGAATTTTGGAGTACTTGTTTTGTTTATTGAGTGTTTTGTTGATTGGTGGCGTTGGTGATAGTAGGGTGTTGATGTTGTTATCTTTGATGATAATCTTTCATGCTGAGAGGTTGATGTTGTTTTCTTTTGTGTGTGTCTAACAGGGTTCTATGTTTATGTTTTTGGAGCTGAGGGTTTTAGCTTGGCCAGAAGTTTATAGTGGTTTTTACAGTGTATTTGGAAATGAGTTCTTGATTGAAAGTGGTTATGGTGGAGGTGCCGGGGTGTGGTAGAAGCTGGTTAATTCGTCCATTTCTTAGATGTGTGTATATTGGTCTTCATGCAGCCCTAGGCGGATGACTATGGAAGGTTCTTCTGACTCTGCTTGGCAGGAATCTGATAGTTCTAGGGCATTGAATACTTCTGGAGTCTCAAACAGAAACCCTAGACTTAGTCATGCGGAAAGAGTTGGGGTTTCGGTTGATACATCACATGGTTTTGGGTTTATAAAGGAGAGTGATAGAGTTGTGCTGGATGATAGTGATCCCCTAAGAAACCAGGGTGGTTTATCTGGGGTTTGTGAGGATGATGCGGCTATCAACCCTTTTGTTCGTGCAATAGAGTGGGGTGATGTTAGCTTGAGGCAGTGGTTGGATAGACCCGAACGATCTGTAGATGTCTTTGAATGCTTGCACATATTTAGGCAAATAGTGGAGATTGTAAATGTAGCACATTCACAAGGAATTGTTGTTCTTAATGTTCGGCCATCATGCTTTGTCATGTCCTCATTTAACCATGTCTCTTTCATTGAATCTGCCTCATGTTCAGATTCTGGATCTGATTCTTTTGAGGAAGGATTAAATAGCCAAAATTTGGAGGATAAAGATTTATCTTATCCCTTGCCCCATGACATGCTTCAGCAACGAAGAAGGTTGACAAGTGAAGAGCTTCAGCCAGTGACAACTCAAAGAAATGCTTTGTCAGAAGCTAGTTGCATGCAATCAAGCTCAGTTTGTGGAACACATGTAATTTTAGTAAAAGAGACTGAAGAAAACAAAATCTTGGATACAATGAATATGGAACAAGTTGAAGAAAAGAGGCAACCATTCCCAATGAAACAGATTTTACTTATGGAGACAAATTGGTACACCAGTCCTGAAGAAGTTGCTGGTGCTTCTGTTTCCTGTGCTTCAGACATTTACCGATTGGGTGTTCTTCTTTTTGAGGTATGTGAAAAAGACGCAGCAACTTTTTCTACTCTTCTTAATTTATCTAGTGTAGGGTCTTCTAAGTAATGTTTTAGTTGTTGTTTTGGTTTTCTTTGTACACTTATTTGATGATTTGATTTCTTTCTAGTTATTCTGCCCTTTTAGCTTAAGAGAAGAAAAGAGCAGAACTATGTCTAGTTTGAGACATCGGGTTCTTCCTCCTCAATTGCTGCTGAAATTTCCAAAGGAAGCTTCATTTTGCTTATGGTTACTGCACCCTGAGCCAAGTAGTCGTCCAAAAATGGGGTGATTTCTCCTTACATTTGCTTTTTACATACATTGTGGTTTTAATCTTTATTATACCCAATGTCCGGCTTGTGTAGCTCTTTAATTTTAGTTTTAGTCCACATCACACACCTTTAGCATTCATTTACCATTTTCTGTAGCCTTGAACCCTCTTTTTAGAGATCTTTGTTGACTGGACATTGCAAATTCAATTTAATTGTAATTTTTAGATGACTAATTTTTGTTACAATTATTACACTTCTGTCTTAAAATGTCGGATAAAATATTTTTACCAAAGTGCTTTGAGGTGATTGTCTGTTTTTTGTGCAACCATAGTACACAAGGGTTTTACTAACTTGCTAAAATAGTTTACATTAGCACTTATTAATATTGACTGTTATCACTCCATAATTTGCTTTATTTTGTGAGCTTTTGTGCAAAATTGTTTGATTGGTTCTCTTAATAAGAATAATGAAGATTGTCATCATTATTTTTGGGGTATATAGATTATAAGGAAATGTATTTATTGCATGTAAAAATGGAGCTAGGATTTTAGGAATTTTTGAAATCAGACTAAATTTAGCTGCCTGACTGTGTTTGTTTAAGATTTCCTGCATAAAACACAGGGTCAGGCCTGCCCCTAGTAATTAGGAAGATAGGTTCATGAATCATGTCCAAGTTAGGTAATTGTAAATAAGTCCTAAAAACATCAACTGATAGGATGTAATCTCTTTCCCATTTTTTTTTTTTTTTTTTTGGCATAACCACCATGTGATTGTCTTGGTATGACTTCATATCGTGGTTAAGCAACTGGAGAGTCTTTGTTTGCATTGTATTCATCTGATGATGATGTTGCATTTTAGGAAGAATAATGCTACTCATCCCAAAACATATCCCGAAAATCACATCCCAAATGATGCATTCCCATATGTGGCATTGACATGTAAATAAATTAATGATTTGTTAAATGATATGACAATGTCAGATATAATGACATGTCGTTTGGGATGTGAATTTTGGGATATGATTTGGGATAAGTAGTATCAATCATTTAGAAATACCATCCTACCTTCTCTAATAAATTTTGCATTTGATCTACTTCCATTAATTTATATCCATGGGAATCTTACATTTCCATGCCTTGTTAACAGTGAGCTGTTACAGAGTGAGTTTCTCAATGAACCAAGAAATGATTTGGAAGAACGTGAAGCAGCAATAGAGCTACGGGAGAGAACAGATGAGCAGGAGTTATTGCTGGAATTCCTTTTGCTGATACAACAAAGAAAGCAGGAAGCTGCTGATAAGTTGCAGGCCACTGTTTCTTTTATTTGTTCTGATATTGAAGAAGTTAAGAAGCAGCAAACAGTACTTAAGAAAAAGGGTGGTTCATATGGGGAGTTGGGGAAGGATGAGCACTCAATGTTAAATCTTCCTTCATTAAATATTGATGATAATGATGATTCTTCTACCTTGGGTTCTAGAAAACGATTTAGACCAGGACTTCAGGTTCACAACATTGAGGAATGTGATGATAATCTAGACGATAATCAGAAATCAGCTACCATCACCAAAAACGAGGGGAGTGTTCTTTTTAAAAGCTCTCGGTTGATGAAGAACTTCAAGAAATTGGAGGCAGCATATTTTTTGACAAGATGCAGACCAATCAGGCCTCCAGGAAAACCTTTGATTAGACATTCACCTTTAAGTAGTGATGGTAGAGGATCTATTGTTGTAACTGAAAGAAGTTCAGTCAATAACGAGCGATATAATGAAGGTAGACAAATTGGGTGGATAAATCCATTCCTTGAGGGTTTGTGCAAATATCTGTCATTCAGTAAGTTGAAGGTTAAGGCAGATTTGAACCAAGGGGATTTATTAAATTCTTCCAACCTAGTATGCTCCCTCAGTTTTGATCGTGATGGAGAATTTTTTGCAACAGCTGGCGTAAACAAGAAGATTAAAGTATTTGAATGCAATACAATCATAAATGAAAATCGTGATATCCATTATCCTGTGGTTGAAATGGCTAGTAGATCGAAGCTCAGCAGCATATGTTGGAATACTTATATCAAAAGCCAGATTGCTTCAAGCAACTTTGAAGGTGTGGTACAGGTAGGACAAGCTTTACATTTTATTCACCTTTGAGCTTTCTACCACTTTGTTTTGAACAAGTTGCTTAATATTTTCAGGTATGGGATGTTTCAAGAAGTCAAGTACTTACAGAAATGAGAGAGCACGACAGGCGCGTTTGGTCCATTGACTTTTCATCAACAGATCCAACATTATTGGCTAGCGGGAGTGATGATGGTTCAGTTAAGCTTTGGAGTATCAATCAGGCAATTCTACTTTTGCATTTGGTGGATGTCAGCTTTGAAACTAAACGTACTGTTTTTATCTAATTTCATACCGTGTAGATTTAATTCTGGATGTGTGATAAGTTGTTCTTCTTACATGGGTTGCTACTGCAGGGAGTAAGTATTGGTACCATCAAAACAAAGGCCAATGTTTGCTGTGTGCAGTTTCCATTGGATTCTGGTCGTTCACTTGCATTTGGTTCAGCTGATCATAGGATTTATTATTATGATCTCCGTAATGCAAAGGTTCCACTGTGCACATTAGTTGGACATGACAAAACTGTGAGTTATGTCAAGTTTGTGGACACTACAACTCTTGTTTCAGCATCCACAGATAACACTATAAAGCTTTGGGATTTGTCAACGTGCACATCTCGAGTTATTGATACTCCCCTTCAGTCATTCACAGGTCACACAAATGTGAAGGTACATTTATTCATATTGAATTTGACTGATTTTATGTTTATATTATGAGGTATTAACATCAAGATATTTATCAATCTGATATTTAGGAAAGCCATTATGAAGTCTTTAATATATATAAGAGAGAGAGAGAGAGAGAGAGAGAGAGTTTTCCTCTTATCAGGGCGTCCTGATAATTTTTATTTTACGGACTTTATTGTGTACAATTCTTTTATTGTGTGTCTTTTAAATTTGAACAAATCTGAACCACTAAAAATATCTAATTGCTAAAATTTAAAGTCTGCATAATAAAAATTATATATATATATATATATATGTTTTCACTTATTTTTCGAATTGGAAACAACATTGAATATGTGAAAATGTTTCCAATAACCAAATATTTTAGGAGTTAGCTATTGGAGTATATCCATCTATCCTAACAAAGAAAGATTTTTCCTGTTGTTTTTCAGATGACAGTAGTGCATAGTTTGCAACAGATAGATATATAAATTCCAAAAGATTTTCTGATACATCGTTCTTCATCTTTTCTTCCTCGTGTATTAGAAATATAATGTGCTCATTGAATGATTAGAAACCGAGGATTTAGAAATCCTGATAAAATAGGAATGTTTGTAGGTTCCCTTCCTGATGAGACAGCAGATTGAAGTTTCGTAAGAATCAAGCAAGAGAGAGGCTTTAGACACCTTTTTTATCCAAAATTCCTAGTATTGCTCTACTTGGAAAAGGGATTTAATTTCATCTTCATTGGAGGGAGCTGTTTATTTCAAATTTGGTTGACCATAGTAAAAATTTGCTAAAAGAATTGAAAAAAATCAAGCATCACGGTGATGCTGGAGCATAAGATTTTCAGTCACTTGCATAATGTTATTTGCTTTTAAAACGTAACTGGCTGGGTTGGAATCCTGGTGTTTTCAAGATTGACACATGACATGAAGCAAATGGCTAATATATGCAATTATTTGAAAGATTTAATTTCATTCTTTTAGCTTAAGATCCATGTTCAATCTTCATCAAAGAATTGTTAGTTGAAAATGGTAGTCAAATAAGCCTATGAAAGGAGGAAGGATTTTGGCATGATATCAGTTGTTATGGTTTACGTGTATTTTTATTTTTGCATCAGTGGCCATTTCTCATGCTCCCTGCCTTTTTGCTTTTTAATATTTTTATTACTGAACTCTCTTAACTTTGTAATGAACTTGCTCCCATTTTCTGATTTTATTATTATCAATGTTGACATTGATCCTATTGTCCCACCATGGTTGACATACTTTTGTTGCAATGCATGCTTTTGTTGTTACAGAATTTTGTAGGTTTGTCGGTATCTGATGGTTACATTGCTACAGGCTCAGAAACTAATGAGGTAGAAGCTAATTTTATATTTTGATTGTTAACCATGCTTGTATATATTATTTGGTGCAGCAGTTTGAACATAGTTGACTTGCTTATTTGAGAAGAATTTTTGAGTTTCTTCCGTGTTTAGCTTTAAATTATTGAATGACCCTAATAAAGTTTATGGTCTCTACTGTAAGTATCCAATTTGCCTGGAGATCAGATAATCATATGCTTCTGGTTTACATCCACATACACTGTTTGGACTGATTTCATTGGAAATCAAGGAGATCAACAAATCATTTTGGTTTTGATTTACATGCACATCCGCTATTAGGACTGATTTCATTGCAAATCAAGTAAATCAGGTATCATGTGGTTGCCTCATGTTTGGAAGTCACATTTCATGTTTTCCCGAAAACATGAACTGGCGGATCACCATGTATAATTATATCCTACTCTAGACGTTTTAGATGGCGATATGAAAATGAAGTCCCCAGTGTTATCTAATTTCCTTCATGCTTGCAGTCACTAGTCAGTATTGGCATTTAAACACGATTATGTTGAAGAAGTCAATAGTTTTTAGTTGGGTTTCATTCACCTTTTTGGTTAATCCAATATCTATTTCCTACACTTAGAGCTGTTTCATAAACACGAACTGCCTGGTAGAAGTCAATAGCTCTAATCCTCTCATCTCTCCGTTTCCCCCTAAACCCAATAATTTGCCTTGATCCCCACTTCTGGAAATTGGCTGCATGAACCATCTTGAATGGAAACCAAACTGATAAATTATTCACTGGATGTTATGGCCCGTATTAACAATGTCTAGAAAACTTTATGCTAAAGCAGTCAGATAACCAACTCTTAATAGGTGCTGGTATAATTGACGTGCTTAAAGTCTCAAATTATTTTGGAACTGCACTTGGCAAAATTTCCAGTTACAAAAATATTACACCTGTTTTGGCATTTTTGGTTTCATTTGTTTATTGATGTCAAATATTCTCCATGGAACAGGTTTTTGTATACCATAAAGCTTTCCCCATGCCAGCACTGTCTTTCAACTTTAACAGCAGGGACCCCCTCTCTGGCCATGAAATGGATGATGCTGCACAGTTTATCTCATCGGTCTGTTGGCGTGGCCAGTCCTCAACCACCTTATTAGCTGCAAATTCCACCGGGAATATAAAAATCTTGGAGATGGTTTAAGTTGGCCTGTGTTTCCTAAACTATTCTTTATTTTAGTTAAAATGATAGAAGATATTGGTGCCAGAGGCTAGAAAATGAAATAAGAACAAGAATGTTTAAACCAGAGAAGATTGTGTAGCTATATTGGCTTAAGGTGGGTATAGGGAGTTGAACAAAACAATTTTTGGCATTAGATGATAGCGGATATGAACAAGAAGATTGAGACTGATCTTTGATCAAGTTCATGTGGATAATCGTAAAGAACCCAAAAAAAAAAAAAAAAAAAAAAAAGGATAAATCACTTCTCTTGTATATTATGTAATGCATATGTTTTATAACCCCTTTTTTTACCTACAATTAGAATTAATCTTCAAATGCATCGTCATATTACATTTGGCTTGATCTGTATTTCTTCAAGTTCTCGTCATATTACATGAAACTTAGAAGTAATACCAATCTTTAGGCAATATAAAATTGACATTCAGGTTCATCGAATTCAACAAAGAACCCAACTTCTCCTCTGGGTTAGACTGCAATACATGTACTGAATTTTGTTATTGTAAGAGAGGACACTTGTACCATAAAACGTTAGACATGTTAAAAGTAATTTAGAAATTTTGAGTTTAAACCTTTAATAAAATGAAGGCCTCTGACAATCCAACTTCTGTGGATTAGCAGATACTTCTCTGATGTTTGATAAGGTTTCAGTTCAATCAACGGTGTGGAAAGTTAAAGGTTGAGCCTCTGTAACATTGGATTTGTGACTAGAGAGTGCAATTATAATGAAAAGAGTGTGATAAGATCCCAACTCATCCTAACTCAAATTTACAAAGGAATAATAAGGGCAAATGGCATATGTGGCAGTGGGAGTTGGTATCCACGTGGCAATTACAATGGAATTGTCTGACGTTTGTGATAAATTTAGGGATAGGAATTATAAAGGGTAGAGAATATTTTGGTGGGATATTGGAAGGGAGGCCCCTAGCTCCTTGAATTATTAGGTTATCTTTACATTCAGTACTGTTTTCTTATTGTTCTTCATTATTGTTTTTATCCATTTTTATATCAATCAATATAGAAGTATATTCATATTAGTGCTTTCTTATTGTCTCTGATCTGTTTTGAATATTGTTTGGTTTGGAATACTGTATTTTGTTTGGTTGTGTTGAGTGTTAAGAATCCAGGTTCTTATCAAGTGCTAGAAAATATTTGATTTCTGGGTCACTATGTAATGTGGAATGTAGCCAAAATTAGGAGTTGACTGTTGAGTAACTCTAGCATGAAAAATGAAACACATAGGCACTCAAGCAGTGCTTTAGAATAATGAATGCATATACCTAATACCAGAATTGTTGAAATTGAAGAAAAGGGTACCACATACAAATATTTATTTCCAATTCATCATTTGATAGTGAATTCAGTTTTGCTCCTTAAGATATACAAGACTTTTCAACCTTTACTCATCACTTTTCCCATAAACAAAGCTGTGATGCCTTTGATTTGTCAACTTTTTGTACTAAATAAATAACCAATTGGATTGATGAATCCAAAGAGTATGGTTTTGTATTCTCTGCCATGTTTGCACATTCAATAGAAGTGCTGATGATGGAAGAAAATTTTCAATGCTTTAGTTTTCATAATCCAACCACTAACCATCCTCTTTGTTCATCAATATGCAAGGCAATGAGGACATGATCAAATCAAGTCCCTTCCATACTCATGAATCTGCAGACTTTGGCAATTATTATTTATTATAACTCCTCTTAAGGCCTAACATGCCGGAAACTTTGTAAGTTCAATTTTCGAGAACAACTTTGCATTGATTTGAGATAATAAATTGGCACACATCCTAGTGACTTTAAAGAAGAGTTGATCTTATAGACCAGGCTGCATTACTTGAACTGTCAACGAAATAGTTTCCAAGTTGAAATCCGTACTATATCTAATTATTTGGGAGTGAAAAAATTTATTAACAATGAGACGTGGGAAAAAAATAACTGCGGAAAGCTTTCCGAGTGGTATAATCTTGGACGGCCTAACAAAAGAATGGATGATCAGGAACAGTATTTGATCCCATCCATCTCAATTCTTTTGGTACATTTTTTTCTGATGTACTAACATACTCAGACTCTAACAAAAATGAGGCGAAAATGTAACTTCACCATCAACAATTCTTCCCTTTATGACTTTCAAAGCTGTGGCCAGATTCGGGTAGTAATCTTTCTGTCTGCAACAAACTGTCATGAGATCTACTTACACTGGTTCTGACCGTTTTTAGCTTCCTTACAGCCTATATTAAGTGCGAAGTCTTTCAGCTCCAGGACCCGTTTGATCTTGTTGGGTCTCCAAGCTTTGAACAAGTGGAGTCACCAGAGCACCAAGCCACCAGGGTGAAGGTCCCATTCTTCCGACCAAGTAACTCTTTGTCAATCTTGTACAAGACGAGTACCTGTTTGAATTTCCGGCAAAAGCAGCATTGCTTGCATCATCTTATCAGTGTCGTTAAGTGAGAGAACGTGTGGGTGTTGTCTTGGGGGATTGTCCCAGAAATGTAGTGCAAGTCATGATTGACAACAGTATCAGCAAATTCGGGACGTTGCAGATGACAGTGTGAAAATAATTCGAGAAGGAACAAAGTTTGTGTAGTACATGACAAAGTTCTTGGGAGATTATCCCAACCCCAAATGCAATATTCTATGAATGAACAGAAAGAACCATCCATGCCGACCTGCAACAAAACCAAATGTTTTAATAGCAGAACACCAAAGTTCAACATAAGGATTTAGATTAGCATAAGAGATACAGCCTTTGCAACATGCATACAGAGCATTTCTTTCCAGTAATAGTGGTAGCACTCGTAATTGCAACCCAAAGTTCAAATATACAGTACAAAAATATATCTTAAATGAAAGTACCTTATACCTGCCATATTTGGTTATTTAACTTCTAAAATGAACCTTAGCTCATTAACTCAAATTTGGTATGATTGAAATCTAACCAAATCCAAAATTAAGAATTTCCATTTTTTTAAAAGCGATAGGTGCAAGAGGACACCCTTTTGTAAACACTGCTGTGTCTAATTGAATGAAGTTAGTAATTTTACAAAAACAGATTCAGCCAATCTGTGTGCCATTAACTACAGTTTAACTATAGAGGGTTAATCCTTAAGTTAACCCATTTATTTCATAGTCACAAGCCTATAGGAAATATTAAGAAAGTTGCCTTGGTGTTAAAAATAAAACTCCTTACTTACCTCTATATACAGCTTCAAATTCTAATTTCTAAAAAAATTGCATATGTCAAAGCCAGTAAACTCACCAATATCCAATGAAAAGTCTTCAAAATTCAGCTTGAATTATTTATAATGGTTCCTTAGTCAAACCTCAACCCACAAACGGAAAGAATATGAATTCAATTTGAATTGTTCCAGAGGTCTATCTTAGTTAACCCAACATGCCGAACGGGAAGAATACAGATTCCTTCATTCTTTTCATATTCCCCCCCCTTAAACAATATTGATAGTTCCTATTGTAAGAACAGAAACATAGGTGCACAATTTTAATAGCATGACTACAGCAAACAAGTGAAAGTCAAATACCAACCAGTATAAATTTAAATGCTGTCGGCAAAGTTCTCCGTGGTGTGACCCAGAATATATCTGACTGTCGACTTAAGTCCTGGGTCAATCATCAAAGGCTTGCTCGTTTATCCCTGCCGAATAACAATAAATTTATTATCATTTAAACACAAAAAAGTCCTGAAATATGTAGTCAGAGGGACAAAAGAGCTTACTCTTTCCAACCAAGCCTGCTCGTGTGCTCAATGAAATTAAGTTTCCGGTTTATTGAAAATGTGAAAAGAAGATCGGCAAATTAAAGCTAATTAATAATGTCTGTTCATTGCAGAACTTGAAATTCTCCTTCCAAAAAAATAAAGCATAATATAAATAATATAAGTATACAGTTGAGTAACGAGATTTACCTCTTGAGTCACAAGAGGATAATCTGAAGCACTAAGATTAATAAACCAATCCCAGTCCTTACTTTTCTTGAGAAGAATAGCACAAGCATGAAGCGTATTAGCACCATAGTTGGTCCTCTAAGTAACCATATTAGCCTTGATGTTCTTGTGGCCATTCCCAACCTTTGAAAACATGGGATCTTTCTCCACTCGCATGCAAGCTCCAATCTTTCCTCGATTGAGGCTTCAAGGTCCAAATGACAACATATTGGTTCCTTGGATGATATAGCGCCTGAAGAGTTCTCCAAAGCTTTTCCAGATCACCCTTTGACCCAGAAACCAAATAAGCAAATCGAGGAATTGTCGGCCAAAGGAGCGGTGGAGCCTGTTTAACCTTCATTTCGGCATATGTTGGATCAGTATGGTTTGCTGAGAATGAGAGGGAAAATCGAGAAGATAGCATTGATCGTGTGAACGAAGAGATTAGACCCATGTTGAAGGAAGTTGCAATAAGAATATACACACAAGAGAGCTTATCACCAGTGGGAATACCCACTTCTTCTCCATGTTTAGAGATCCCATCAAACACTTTATCGCCTTCAATCCACAATTCTAATATCCCAATTTCCTCAATTAGCAACTCAGAAAACCTTCTACTGGATCAAACCCACAAGATCTTCACCTATACCCTCAGCCTCAGATCACAAACTTCTTAAATCTACAAACTCTGATCTTCAAAAATATATCTGTTAAATCAACATTCAACAAGAAAAATTAGAATATTCAACCAAACTCCATCATATGATTTCCCCCAAAACAAAGAAACTGAAGCTTGCAAAACATCAAGCTGCAGTCTAGAATCAAAACAGAGATACTTTTAAAACTAAACCAAATATACTATATATAAAATGCATATTAATATTAGTTTGTTAGTTGTGGCGGGTATAGAGAGATATATGGTATAATATTCCATAAAAGAACAGAAAGATGCATTAGAAAATCGACAAGGGACCAACAAACGAATCACACAGCATAACAATTCTTAAATATTAATATATTGTACAATGAGCTAACGGTGGCTTTATATAAATCCATTGATAAAGACACACACTAGCTTTACAATGCCAAATCTGAGAACAAATCTGATCAAACCCCACATTTCCCCAGCAGATTTACAGCAAATACACAGCACTAATCTTCCCCAAAGTAAAACACACCTTAAAGATCACTACTTTAAAACCCACAAACAATACCCAGATCACAAAAACAAGCTCGGATCATAACTCAATCAATCTAAACCCTTAAACCCCATATAAAATCTTCAATCAACG